GGGCCTTTGGACTGAAATCCGCGTTTCGCCTGGTGCCATGCAAAACACTCTCGGGGGTTCGACTCGGGCCACTCGGGCCACGGGCGCTGGCAGAGTACTTGAGGACAGCGCTGCCATGCCGCACTTTGAAGTCAGTCAACGCAGAAGTTGAACGGCCTTTCAGCTCAGAACTTCCGTGCAACTGGGTCTTTGCAGCAAACCTTGCCCGTTTACAGCTCCAGCCTTGGGCGCTCAAGACCGGTCTGAAACCTCGGGCCTGGCCCAAAGTCAAGCTCCTCGCAGGGCAAGCCATTCTTTCCGCCAGGTGGGCGATTCAGCCCACGTCTTCAGCACAGAGGGTGACGTTTTGTCGACGGGCTGCGCGCTTTGTGTGTCGGAGTCGGTGCTGTCAGTGCAGCTGTGAACTGGGCATTTTTGTGAGCAGCGATCACCATATCAGCGAACCACGGCTGGCTGGCGCGGATGCCTAAGGCACGAGACGAGGGCGTGTCGTCTCTGACAGCTAGGCAAGCGCTCACACATGCAGACCACCGGCAGCTCGGCCCTGCCTCGCGTTTGCCCAGGTACTGCCCAATTGTTTGGGAGTAAGGACGGTGACAGTCTGATTTCGTGACGCTCCAAGCGGCTGTCAGACTTAGCGGCGAGGTAGTTCACTCAATCAAAGTAGCCGCCAATTGTGACGGTGCTTAGAGGAAACGAGGCGGTAAGTGGAGCGCATCTCTTCTTGCACGCAAGATCGGATAGTGCAGAGTGCAGAGCGTCTTCCAAAACCTATCGCCTCGCGAAGCTTAAGTGCTTGCAAATCCTACGCGAGAATGGATGGCAGAGATACGGCAGAATTGATCCCCACTTAACTGCCAAAATTTAAATGGTTGCTCCCCTTCCAACGTCAACCAAGCATTGTTCCAGCATACCAAGCGTTGACAGCGCCCCGTTGATGCCGGCTGGGCGGTTTGTCCTGGGCCTGAGAAGTGGAACGCCGTTTTGATTCGGGCGGACGAGCTACGCTGGCCACTGGGCCCAGAGGCCGGTTTGCAGGATTGACAATTCTGGACACGCGGGGGTGAGAGGGCCTTCGGGGGGGGGGATGGTTACACTGCGCTGGATCTTTCTAGGGGCACCCCACGCTTTTCGCAAAGCTGCTTGGGTCCAAGGTTCCGCGCAGTCCGGTTTGGCTTCGTGATGAGCCATCGTGCACACGGGTATGCGGGGACCACTACGGCACGGAGAGCCGCAATGATTTGATATGATTTGATCTTACAGCATCTTCTCCAGTGAATTTTGCATGCGTGACTCTTCAACACCTGGCCGGCAAGCCTTCCACTTCGCATCGAAGCCATTTGGAGATTTGAATTGCCGTGATGACAACTTCGGAAAAATCCAGAGGACCTTACTACTCCTCCAACAGGTCTCTAGTACAAGGGGAACTTTCTGGGCACGGTCCGGGTTAATCGTAGGTTCAAGCAGGAAGCCTTGAGCACCTCGCGAAAGCTTGTGCTTTAGGCCGGTCTTAAGCTGCAAGGCTGTGAGCAGCTTCTCCCAAACGAGTCAAGCACAGTGCGGTGACACGAAGCTCTTGGACCTAGTCGTTGAAACGACCAGGTGTTTTTTTGGCCAAGGGAGGTTGTTCAAACCATGTGGGCTATGACATATATGCATGCTAAGAGATTGGCCGCAACTCTGCCTGAGTTGGTAGTTGGTTTATCCTTTAACGGTTTCATCCAGGCTTCTGCCAGGCCGCAAAGAGCGAGAAGGGATTTGGTCCATTCGCAGAGCCGACAGACCAATCGAACGCGTCTAACACTGCCACCAGGCCGAGTATCGCACTGAAATGCGCGGCGATGCATGGGTTTTGCTGGACCCCTGAAGCTATCCGTTTTTGGACATTCGCTGGATCATGCTTAAGCCACCGGAGTCCTTTCCTCATTTTTGCCGATGACTGACGATCAAACTTGGCAGGACTTGCAGTGGTTCGTGTGGCAGTGCAAGCACCTTTGCTCACCCCGCGCAGCTCAAGACTGGGCCATAGCACAAGCTTTCGTGCCTAGCTGGTTTACACCGCTCCCATGAGGCTGACAAGTGGGAGTGCAAGTCCGCCATCTCGCTGAGTGTGTAATTCGGCTGGGCTTTCAACTTGTCCCAGGATCGCTCAGGACTTGGTGTGGCATTGTCGTCTTTCCGTTTCAGATTGGCGAAATGAGACAATGATAGCTGTCTTACAGAAAAACTGACCACGTTCAAAGAGCCGCGACGTCGCATGTGTTCAAGGGTCACTTCAACTGCGGCTTGCCAGTTCACATGTCATGGCTCAGCACTGTGCCAAAGGCCTTCCGCAAGCACTTTGAATCACCCGCGACGCCGGGCCTAAAAACTTTTTGTGACACGCCTCTCGCGGCCGCTCTAAGACGTATGGTCTTTCAGCTGAAGCCTTCCCGGCAACTGGTCTTTGGAGGCTTTGCCTTAGAGCTCCAGACTTGAAATACCCGATCTTGCGCTCTGGGAGCCTCCGGTTGAAACGTGAGGCCTGCGAGCCAAAGTCAACCTCCAAGGGTTTCTTTGCGAAAGTGACTCGGCCTACGTGTTCAGCACAGCTCGGATTTTGGACGACTTTTGGTCGGGCTGCGTGGTTTAGGTGCCGGAGTCGGTGCTGTCAGTGCAGCTGTGAACTGAGCACTTTTGTGAGCAGCGCTCACCATATCGGCGAACCACGGCTGGCTGCGCTGTGGGTGCCTTGTAAGGCCAGAGTCACGTCGACCCTGGAATAGGCAAGAGCTTACCCATGCTGGAGTTGACAGCTGGCAGCTCAGCCCCATCTCGTGTTTTTTTACAAATGCTGCGCATTTGTTTTGGAGTGAGGCCATTCACAGTCTGATTGCGTGATGCTCCAATCGCCCGTCAGGCTGAATGGCGAGGTAATTCAATCAATCAAAGATGTATAGACAACTGCGACAGTGCTTAGAGCAAACGAGGTGGGAAGTGCTCTTGCATCACGGGATTTCCCCACAGGGCCCATGTCGATCGGGGCATGTCGAACAGCCCGCTTCCTGCGTGACGTAATCAATCAAGCCGCGGACGGCGCTTGAAGCGCAGCGTGTGAGCACTTACCGGCAACTTTTCTTTGCTCGACATATGGCAAGCCCAAGAGGAGTCCGGCAAGCTGGCCTGAAGCATTCCTCCTGAGGCTGTGAGCTGGTACCTTGCAATGCCAAATAGTTTGGCTCTTTCTTGGTGGCCTGCTGGTTCAAAGCCGCCGCTTTTGAGGGATCTTCAAACTGGCTCCACTGGCCCATATGCAAACCCACCATGCTTCCTCTTAGTGCGTTAATGTGTGCAGATCCTGTCCAGCCACAGCAACTGGTAAGTTGACCGCATGTCGATGTTGAAGGTCCCCATGGTTGTTCCTTCATGAGCCATCTGGTTTGCAGGGGTTGCCCCGTCCCATGATGCTAACCAACGGTAGGTCTTTGGTCATTCGCAGAGGGGCAGTGACCTTCAGGCCCCAGCTTGTTTGCGCAGGGTGTGCGACGCGGCCGGCTGCCTGTCCAGCGCAGAAGGGCGTATAGCGACTTGTTGGTCAACGCTGGACCACGCCGTAATATCCATCCTTCTGCTTTGCAACGGGGGCTGGACGCTGGGGCCCGGGCGTGTGCACGTCCGCCCGTTCCATTCGGGGGGCAACAGTGCAATGGACAGAAGACGGCGGCTTTCAGCACTGCCACACCCAAGCACAACAAACCGTAGCAGTACCTCACACGCCTCATGGCTTCACACCTCTGGCAGAAGGGCCGGTAACGCACCACTGAAATGCGCGGCGATGCGTGGGTTTCGCTGGACCCCTGAAGCTATCCGTTTTTGGACTTTCGCTGGATGCTTAAACCACCGGAGTCCTTTCCTCATTTTCGCCGATGACTGACGATCAAACTCGGCAGGACTTGCAGTGGTTCCTGTGGCATTGCAATCACTTTTGCTCACCCCGCACAGCTTAAGACCAGCGGGCCAAAGCAGCATTGGCTTTCGTGCCTAGCTGCTGAATTAGGGTTTGACCGCTCCCATGACGCTGACTAACGGTAGGTGGTTGGCCATTCGCAGAGGAAGTGATGTCAAGCTCCGCAGTGTGTGCTGTGAAGGGGCTCAGGCATTTGTTGCGCAAGGTGTTCGTGATTGGGTTGACCGCAAGGTCTCGTAGGGCTTGGAGTGGCATTGTCGGTCTCGCCTTTTAAATAGGGAGGATATGAAAAGCACTTTCAAGAGGACTGACCACATCCAAAGCGCTGCGATGTCACATTTCTTCAATTGGAGATGGGGTGCGTCAAAGTGCGCCTTGCCATCCAACGTTGGTTCTTTCTGGCTCAGTACCTAGAGATGCTTTCTGTTGCTTTAAATCCACGGCGCCAGTGTCAGCCGAAATACTTGCCAAGCCCGGTGAGAGGACATAGCTTCAACGCTTGAAGATTTGCTGTCACACCCAAAGTCCGAAGGGCGCGACGAGCATCCTCCACCGTCGGACCGAACACCACATTTTTTCTGACCACATGCCATCACGACAACCTCGGAAGTTCTGAAGCCAGATAAACAGGCCACTGGCTGCACCATTTTAGTTTGCCGGTCCGTGGCAGTCAGAAGCGTGAATTTGCCACTGGCACTTGGTCCGCAAGATTCTGCCGCACCTGTTCACTCAAATCTTGAATCCGCACAATTTCGCTCGCCACGCGAGCGTGGGAGAGAGCTGCTCAAAGGCTGGCATTGACTTTGGTCCAAGCCATGCCGACCTGAGCTTCTGCGCCAGTGGCTGAGGCCCCCAGACCAAGCCATTCGAGGAGGTGGTGCAAAATTGGTCGCACCCAGGGTGTGCTTTGTGTGTCAGCCGGCGTGAAGATGCTCACAGCGCTCAAGCGGAAGCTGCTTCGTGGTTTCGGTTGATTTTGGATATTCCAGAAATGCCCATGGTCAACGTAAGGTGTGGGGAAGGTGGGCAGCAGGCGTTGGCTTTGATTTGCGCAATGCCCTCGGCAAAAGTTCCGATCGTGCCCTGGCGTTTGCTTGAGGCTAGTCGCATTCATTCTTGATTTCGGAGAGGGAAGATGTGGAATCGGCTGAGCTGTGAGCCGTTCGCATGTGGCCTTGGCTTTGCAACCATTGCGGCTGACCGGATCGCCGATTGCTCGGTGCTCGGTGCAGGCGGATGCAGCCTTAAGCGGCGCCAAATTTGCGAGCTTGGCTGGGCCAGGCCCTGGGCCGTGTCAGACCTCATGTCTTGCCTTTCTGCGGCATGGAGCAGATGGTGCGGCCCAGCCAGATTTCTTTCAAGGTCATGGCGAAACAAATGGCGCGGCCCAGCCAGATTTCTACGGCGCCTCAAGCTGACCGTTTGGGCAGGAGTTGTGAGAAGGGAGCTTCCACCAGCCTGTCTCGAGAGCGTCTACTGGCAGATGCATGCTCAGGACTCGGTTTTGAGGCGGGCGCGCTGGGACCTATGGCCTTGCATCAAGGCCGCGAATCTGCAGCGGAAGTCAAAATGGCCCTCGGAAAGTCCTCCGACTCCGAGTTGTTTCGGGAGTGACTTACTCCTTGGTGCATTTTGCTTGGATGTTAGGACTTTAACTTTCTGCCAACTGATGGGTTTTCCATTGAACCACAAAAAGTTAAACTTTTAGCAGGGGAGCAGAAAGCAACCGGGTACCGGTTCTTTTGTTTCAGATTGCGAGGTGTGGGCACAAATTGGATTTTGAAGCTTTCTTGAACCCAGTCGAACTCTGTCCACTTGACCACTTGAATCTAGTTCCACCAGCCGAGCTGAACCGATTCAATTGGTTCATGTCCCAATTGGTGGCTCAGTTGAGTACCAGAGCCTACATCTACCTCACATGGAACCCAAACCTCATGCCGATTCTGCCAGCTTTCCATCGCCGTCTCCTGCAGGCGCTTCTGCTGCGCGAGTGGCTGAGAGACCTCGAGGCCGTTGGATGCGCAGCGAAACGGGCGGGCGGGTGCCACGTTGGCGAATTTTGAGCGCCCCACTTGGCTTGGGTCAAAATCCGATTGGTGGGATTGGTGGCTGCCGAAGCCTCCCAACTGCTGCGAAGTGGAATCTTGAGTTGTGCCTACCTACTCACTCAATTATCGCCGGGGGGGGGGGGGAGCAATATGTATTCATGCACTCGAGATACCGGGAAAGTTCCGCTGCGGTCTTCCTCCAACGGGATCCCGTGTCGTTCAATTTGCAAGGACCGAGTAGCGAATTAAAAAGCGGCGAGCAATGTCATTTGGAGCATGTGTGCATCCGAATGTGAGTGGATTGGCTTTCGCTTGAGGATTGGCTTCGTATTGCTTTAGTACTGGTTCATTATGTGTGTGTTTTTTAAAGTGTCCTCGGGAAGTTGGGGTCGCGGAGCTTGCTGGTAGAGTTGGTTCATTGGCGAGTTACATTTTAGAATTGGGAGCCGTAGCCCATTATGACCATGGTTATCCTCAGGGAACAATGGCACCAGCTATGTTTCTAGGGGTTCATTCCCCACTCTTATCAACCATCGCTCTTTTCAAAAACCGGATCTGTTTCCCCTGGGGTTCTGATGGTTTTCTGGAAAGAAACACGGATCCCTGGAAATGGCGAAGTGTCCCCTAGAATTCTTGGGATCTGGGTGCCCGATTTTCCTCTGAAGCCCCCTGGCCCTCAGAGGTTTCCCAGTCTGCCAGTCTTCGCCCAAACTCGCGTTGGACGAGTCAGGTGACCATCCCAAACTTAGAGATCTCGAGTGTGGCGAGCTCGGAGCAACGCCCGCTCGTTAAATAGACCCCCGGTTGTTGTTGTTGCTTCCTTTTTTTTAGGGAGGCAAACGGAAACCGCCCGAAAACATATGGGGAAGCCTATTTTGAGAACACCCGTTTTTTGTGGACCGGTTTTCACGTACAAGGCTCATGACCCTTCCAGGGCCCCGGGCCGCAGCGCCCCGGGCCCTCCAAGCACGCGGACCAATTCCTCAGGGGCCCTTGGTCCACAACCCATTTTGAGGGCCCAAGCATCGGGAGCCTTAGGGACTAACTTGGGGATGTGGAGCCCTGGTGTTTATAGAGGCTACGTGCAGAAGTGGCAACCTCCAATCCACTCGGAGATGGGTTTGGCGCGGTGCCATGGAACTCATCCTACTTTGGGGTTAAGACACCTAAGGGTTATACTGTAGGCCCTTCTTTAGGGCATGGAAATGAGAAGGTCTTGGTGTGGCTTTTCGAAGTCACAAAAAGGGGGGAGTTGCAAACAAGGTGTGAAGTTGTTGGGATTCTGTTTTGGCATCGACTCTTTCACGGCAGAACATCGTGCAAGCAACTCAGATCGGGCGCACTGTCCCGTTTAGGCTGCTATTACGGAGCCCTTTCATCCGAATCACCGAGACACCCAGTGTCCTTTCTCCTTTTTGTTTAGGAGGGGCGTTGCGAAAAAAGGGGGGCGAGCATATTTCCCTTTGGCCACTGAAAAAAACTTGGTTTATGAGGGATGTAAGAATTGAGGGGTTCTTTGAGAATTGAGGGGTTCTTCTCAATCCTCGATATGCCGGCAACAACTGACTATTCTGTGTAGCCCTCACTACAAAGGAAAAAACAACAAACCAATTAACTAAGCAAAGCTTACCCGCCCTGCCAAGCCACCTACCCGTGCCACGGTGCCGTTAAGAGCTGCCTGCTTTTGTCCGGCTGTTCAGTTGTTTTCTTTGTTGGTTCTGTGGACGTTGGGGGCCGACATAAGGATCAGGAAGCTTCCCCGCTCTTTCTTGTTTGGGGGGTCGCGTGAGCTCGAGCGACAGACAAATGCTTGCTGTGGGCCTTGTCTTTCTGAGGTCCGGTGGCTGGGCTTTGAGGTGAACATCACCGGGGGCACTTGCAATGGCAGGGGGCCGAGACACCGAGAGTCGGTGGTTGGGCGTTTCTCAAACTAGTTGATCCGGGCTTCTAAAAGGGCTGCCCTATCCCCACCAGGTTCCAATTTTTTTGAGTCACCCAGAAAGGTCACAAGACGCGGAACGACTTCCAGTGGATAAACGTGGGGGGCGGGGTGGGCGGTGGGGGGTGGGCTGCACCCTTGTCGGTTGCCTCCAGCTTGAGATGTTAGTTTCTTGCCGTTCGTTTTCCGGGGACTGCTTGCCACTCCTTCAAAGGATATGGCCCTTGAGTCGGATGTCGTTTCCCAGAGCCCAAGGCTGCGGAATCTGGTAAATGGTTCGGAACCGGACCTAAAGCGAGCTCACCACACAAGTCCTGGATGCTTCTTGGTTTCAGATTTCTGGTTTCGCACTCTTTGCGCGTGTTTTCTTCGCCAGACGGAAAACCTCCCCCCCCCCCGACACCCCCCTTCGGTCGGCACGCTGGAGGCCTGGAGCTGGAAGACATCAGCGCTGTGTCCGCAAACGATCCGCAGCTCTTCCGCACGAGCCTGCGCACGGAGAGATGGCGGTTGGGTGGGTCGGAGAATAGAATAGTCGAAGAAACCAGACAAACGGGAGATTCGACGGGAAATCAACGTAGAAGTTGGTTTCTTTGGTGGGCATTTCCAGTTTCTACGGGAAATCAGCACCTACGGGAAATTCTACGGTTTTGGGTGGGCATTTGGCAATCCATTTTCCTGTAGCATTTCCCGTAGGTGCTTTCTATGGGATAGGGCTTAATGGCTCAACACCATTGCCACAGTGTGTCATTGTTGTGTTTGCTTTCGGGTAGCTACAGAGAACCTGAAAATCTGTCTCACAAATTACTAAAGGGGGTCTTTTGGAAGTGGCTGCGAGATAGGCGGGGCTCGCTGTTGGAGTCACTTTGGTCACCACATCGCTTGCTTGTCCTTTCCACAGCGAGTGGATTCAGATTGGCCGAGCCAAGGGGAGCCTAGGAAGGGTCGAAAACGGGCGCCCCCGCCCAGTTCTGGAGTTCGGAGCTGTTGTTCCTTGTCGGTGTTCCTAAACTGCGGTTTTTAGGTCAACACAGGGACGCCCCAAAACCACTGCATGTGGAAGTCGAAAGGTACCTGGCCCTCTTTGTCCCTGCATCATGCATGGTGAGTTAACATTCAGTAGTTTGCAGTATGGCAACATTTCCATCCGTTGCCGCAGTCTGCAGATCAGATGCCTCTAGGCAGAACGTGTTTCACTGATTCCCTTTGCAGTGCATGGTGCGTGTCTTTGCAGGACTGAATTCGAGACGGAAGCTGCACAGCGAAGCAACAGCAAAAGGTGTGGCTCTGGATCGCCCCGTCATCTTGGGGATGCATGGCACGGCAAGGGTTTCCGAGGCTGAGTGTCGATTCAACTTGGTAGCGGCGCCCCTGCGTTCATTCTGGGGGCTTATCTGTCACTGTTCAATGCTGGGACTGGTTTTGGTCTTGTTGGCGGGTTACGGCACGGTCGTGCTTCAATCCCCTGCAATGGGTCAGACTGACCTCGTCTTGGCAGTCGGCAACCGGACTGTGGCGGTGAATCAGACATTCACTACCACTACTAGCACACAGATGCCGCTGTCTGACGTTATCCGCAAAGCAGCTTTGGACGCGCAGCATGCAGTTGAGCTGATGAATGTGATCGCCGAGACAATAGATGATGCAGCAGTTGACGGCAGTGCAGGAATTTACCCCGCAGGCAGTGCAACATCTTTTGATGAGACAGACGAATCTGGCATGTATGAAACATACAGAATCTTCAATCAGTCTATCTTGAGCAATGCAACGAACTTGCCGGAGGGTCTCATCCCATGATGAGCCATATGATGCGGAGTTCGTTTTCCTGCAGAATCTGACGGACCTGATGCAGTATGCCCGATCTCAAGCACAACGCTTGGATCTGTTGCTAAGCAAGGTCGAGCAGTTTGTGCAAGCAGATGGTATGAGTTTTGAGGCTGACAGCAATCTTACAGTACGCTGGCGGCGGCTTGTGGCGCAAGATGCAGCACCGATTACGAGATCAGCTGCATTTATGATGTGGGTCGTCAGGTGGCGGTGGTTTTTGCTCTTTTCTGGGATGTTCTGCATTTTTGCATCAATGACTCCTGGATTCATGGGGCGGAACAGACATGGGCCACCTCCGAGACAGTTTTCTCACATCGGAGATGCGGGCCCACCGTATGTGGGTACGGCCACGCTCAAAGTGCCACCAAGCTGGAGCGCTGAACGAAACACGCTGTATAGTCTGCGTTCTTGGCTGTCAGATGTGATTCTATGGTCATCTGCAACAGACCTTGATGCAGTGCGTCAGGGGCCGGTGGCGGCGCTTCAGATCAGCGGAGCTGCTCGTGAGCTGATACGTGAAATTCCACCGCAACATCTGCGTGACGGCATTGTTGATCCACAGACTGGGCAACAGGTGCCCGGATTGATGGTGCTGGCTCAGGCTTTGGTGGCTAGGTACGCGCCACTAGATGCTGAGAATGTGACGCGGGCTGTGAAGGAGCTAATGCATTTCTCCCGACTGCCTCATGAGGATATGGATTCAATTCTCGTTCGCTTCGATATCCTGCGGAACCGTGCAGCGCAGAGAGGCGGAATGGCTTTGAATTCTGAAGGTTTGTCGTGGATTTGGCTGAATGCTCTCAAGCTGTCACCAGAAGGCTGGGATAGACTCCTGTTCTGGAACGATGGTCATCTTCCCCGCAGATGGAGCAATTGATGGGACGTTTGAGGCGCGCAGGTCATGTGAGAGAAGGGTTGCACCATCGCGATTCTGGCCAAGGTGGTGTTGGTGATCCTGGTGCATATTATTTCCCATCGTTTTCTACTCCTGGCCCAATGCAGTTTGATATTTCTGGTGGCGACGGAGCCAATCTCACAGCAGATGCCTCATTTCATCAAGCGCCTCACTCAGCAGACAGTTTCATGCCAAGCGCATTTCCGGCATGGAACATGGAGTCTGATGCAGCTGGACAACAGTGCAATGCCTGTGCATGTTATTTTGATGATGAAGACATGTCATCTGCCACGGAATCCGAGTCATGGACAGCCAGACGACGATGTGGACAATTTTGAGCAGTTTGTCACTGTCGATGGTCAGGAACGCACTGACGATGCCGCATATGGTGATCAGTTGTATCACGACTATTTGATGGCTCGCAAACGCTGGAGAAGATTTGCGGGTAAGCCACCTAGGCGGTATCGCAAGTTCAACCGACGACCTGATCGCTGGCAGAAGGTGCAAGGACGCTTTCAGAGAAGCCCGTTTGGCAGATCCTATGCTTCGTTCTTGCCACAAGGTTCTCTGGCCGGTGGCAAAGGAGGCAAATCCAAGCATAAGGGATCGAAGGGCTTTGGTCGCAAAAATCCTCGCGGTAAGGATGGACAAACTCTGAAGTGTGCGAAGTGCGGAAGCGATGAGCATCTCTGGAGACAATGTCCTGGTGGGAGTGGAGGCAATCGAGCTGGAGGTGAACCTTCATCTGGAACTCCCAATTTGTCCTTGCATATGCGAGGTGATCAGTCCCGAGCATCCAACATGCCCCACAACCCTTTGGCTATGGTTTCTGCCAATTCGATGATTCCTGGCGTTTCTTTCAACTACATGATGAGTGGCATCAGTGGTCAGCACAGAAGCAAGGCATCCCGGAGCATGGACTACGAGTTGGAGAGTCTGCGAAGTGTTGCTTCGAGTCGCAGCAAGCGGAGGACAAGTCGCGCTTCTGGTTCGGATGGCGTGACGGCCACGGAGGAGGATTATCCTGAGCCGCCTCAGTGGGAGGCATTGGTTCCTGGGGTAGCTACTCCCAAGAGTGCGCCGCCTTCTCAACCACCGGACCTGGTGGCCACAAGTCCTTCTGCTTCCGCGGAGGAGGATGCCAGGCGGAGGACCACCTTGCAGTTGACGCAACTTCTGCAGAGCAATCAGTTTGATTCGGCCGGTCACTTTCCTTGGTGGGAGACTTCCAGCAATGAGTCGCCTATGACCGGTGTGCAGTCCTTCCATGCTCGGACCAGGATTGGAGGTCGAGTTGGTTTGCTGGTGGACCCTGGTGCGCATGACAACTTGATAGGTGGTGCGACCCTACATGACATGGCTCAGCAGCTGAAGGTGGACGTCAGCGAGCGCAAGCTCAACAATGTGCTTTCGGTGAGTGGAGTTGGAAAATCCACTCAGGAGGCTGCCACTTGTGGCTCGGTGCGATGTTCTTTTAAGAACTTTGATGGCGAGCAAGTTGCTGGGTCTTACACTGCGCCCGTGATTCCGCAGAGCACGCTTCCACCGCTTCTGGGTCTGAAGTCGCTGCAGGCCAAGAAGGCCATTCTGGACACTCACGCTCGCAAGCTGATTATTCCTGGGCCCGGTGGCGTTGAGTATCGATTGAGCCCAGGCACATTGGTACATCAGCTGGAGATGAGTGACAGTGGTCATTTGATTTTGCCTCTTGACGAGCCAGCAGTGAGTGTGGAGGCGGAGCAGAGCGCCAAGCAGAGCAAGCACGATCAGAGACTGGACTTTGTGATGAAGTGCCGGAACGGACGGGGTCAACCCTCTGTTGCGGTTCGCTCCAGCGAGTGACTAGCGGCCGATGCGCCGCCTATAATTCAGTGCAATGTGACGCCAAAGATGAAGCAGACAGCGAAGACTGGGACTGCTGAACAACTGGTGTGGATTATCAGTGATGTTTCGGGTGTTCGACAAGAGATTTTTCTTAGTGCAGATTGCCGGGTGATGAGCTTTCAACATGATTTGCATTCGCGACAGCATTTGAATTCCATGTTGCGAGGTTTGGAGGCGCAGCCGCCCGCTTTGATGTGGATCAGATTGCATGGACCGTGTAGTGGTTCGGGCAATAGACGGGATGTTTCTCGCATGCAGAACCTTCTGAATTTGGCCAACGCCCAAAGACAGTTTGGTCATGTGGTGATAGAGGGCAACGTGCGCTCGCAAGCTTGGAATTTATCAGTATTGCAGACCGCGCAGCCATCTTTTCATGTCACTGAGCATCGCTGGTGTCGGTATGAGCAGCGCAATCAGCAACAGTTGCCTTGCGGAGCAGTTTTGAGGATCTGGAGCACTTTTGAGTTTGTGGCTGGCAATCAGTGCATGTGTCAACCTGCATTGAGACATGTGACTCTGAAGTCACTCAGGATCAGCGAGAGAGCCGAGAGAGAGGCTCAAGTGCTACGCGGTGTGATTGATTTGATGTTGTCCCAGCAAAGGTTGGCATCTTCTGGCCGTGTGGCACCGTCAGGTGATCTGAGTAGGCAACCTGAGTCGAAAGTGGTTTCGATTATGGATGATGCAGCCATGGATTCTGAATTTCGCAGTTCAGCTTTGGTACAGTTTCCTCGGGTGCGATTTTGCACGCAGGCAGCAGCTGAGGATGCAAACTGTCAGAGTGCCTTTCCGATTGACAGCGCTGAGAGACAGAAACAGCGGAAGCGGAGTGGCATTGTGGCCAAGAAGCGCAAGCAAGTCATTGAGCCACATGATGGCGATTGTGGAGACTGTCTTGACAGTTTGACGAGTCATTTCACAGCTGGTTGGACGGCGAGTTCTGGCCAATGTGCTGAGTCGGAGTTTGACCAAGCAGTGGAAGATGGTTTACATGCAAGGATATCGATGTGCGCATGCAGTATGCCTGAGAGTTCTGGGAGCGGCAAATCTGCAGATGGTAGTGTGGCCCGCGACTGGAATTCGTTTCTTTCACTGGACAGGCGTCACGGACAGGTCGACGTTTGTGAACTGTTTGGTGGAGATGGCATTACAACGCAACTTTGCGCTCGATATTACGAGTTACGAAGCGGGTGCAATTTTGAGTTACGACAAGGTTTTGACCTGTTGGACCCGCAGCATGAGCAGTATCTTTTCGAATATCTGAAAGCCTGCAAACCAATTGTGGTAGTTATGGCTCCCCCTTGCAAGTCTTTTGGACCATGGGCGCGACTGAACCGGGTGATTCATCCTGAGCTGTTTCAGAAGAGCCGTAAAGATGGTGAACGCCTAGGTCGTATTTGTGCTAACGTGGCGAGACTGCAATTGGAGCAGGGCAGACATTTTGTTTGCGAACAACCACAGAGCAGTGAGATGTTTGACATGCAGTGCTGGCGGGGGCTACGTGATAGCATTCACGTTTGCAGATTTGACCAATGTCGCACTGGCTTGAGAGAAAGGGAAGGCCGGCGATTGCCGCTGATGAAGCCGACTCAGATGTGGGCATCCTCGCCCCTCTTGACTCATGCTCTTGATGGTCTCAGATGTCGGCGCAATCATGAACATGGCAAGGTCAAATCAGCAGCAGAGCGATGGACAACAGATCTTTGCAAGCGATTAGCCGTTGGAGTTGCAGACACTGTGGATGAGTGGCGTGAGCTTTGTGGCTTGCATTATGCCACGTACAATTGCCCTGGATGTCGTGGTCATGTGAGAAGGGAAGATTCTCGGCACACTCATGGCGATGACTGCCGGTTTCGGGGTGAAGACTCAGTCACTTGGAGCTGTCCTGGATGTGTGAAACATCGCCATCGTGATGATGCATCTCACACGCTGGACCCTAACTGTAGATGGTCAATTGCACGCAGTGCATCAGCTGGCGCAGGAAGGGCTCGTGCGGGACGCCCTCGTGATCCTTCTGTACCGGCAGCAGATGATCCAACGAGTAGATTGAGGCTTGCAGATGCACCGCCGGTGGGCGTGCCTGCAGACAACGAAGGTCGTTCGGAGGCAGATCGTATTAGGGCAGACAAAGCAGCTCGGTCCGACGATTTTGAGAGACAAGTGATTGCGCAGGATCGTCGTGTTGAGCAAGCAGCTCAATCTGTCCGAGGTGATTCCTCGAATGCTGCAGCAAGCGCTGGGCCACGGTGGAGATTTCAAGATGCTGAAGTGCAGGCTGAAGCAGCAGTGAGAGCAGTCGAACGTGCCGATGCTGCGCCAGAGGAGCGTGATGGTGCAGGTTGGAGCAGGTTTGATTTGGGTGCTGCCTTACAGCAACTTCGGTCGGTCAGACCTGGAATTGTGCGAAGAGCTTTGCGGAAACTTCACATACGCTGGTACCATTGCGGTGCTAAGCGCATGAAGATGTTGTTGGAAGCCGCAGGCGTTGACCCTTCTGTTCTGGCACTTACCGATGACGTTGTGGCTACATGCGGAGCATGTCGTCTGTGGACGCGCCCTGGAGTTCGCAGTGTCACTTCAACTCGTTTGAGCACTCAATTCAACGAATCTGTTCAAGTGGACTTGCTTTTCGTGAAGCATTATACAATTTTGCACATGATTGACAGTTGTATTCGTTGGAGTGCTGCGCAAGTGATTCCCAGCAGAGAATTTGACGCCATCATGACTGGCATGGAGCTGATTTGGTTTCGCCTATGGATTTCCACAAGAGCTTGTGTCTGACCGTGAAGGTGCTCTTGACACTGATGCAGCAGCAGGTGAGTTGGAGAAACGACATGTCAAGCTGACACTTAGAGCCAGATATCAACATGCTGGCATCGTGGAGCGTCACAATGAACTTCTGCGACGACAGATTCATTACATTGATGCCCAAGCAACTGCGGATGGAGTGAGAACAGATTTTCCTGGAATTCTTGCAGAAGCATTGTTTGCCAAGAATGCGCTTTTCACTTGCGGAGGTTTCTCCCCTTACGAAGCTCTTTTCGGGCGAACTCCTGGTTTGCTCAACGTCATGCGAGAAGAGGCTGACGAAGGGAATGCCGATGATCACTTTCGCTTGAGACAGATCGCTGTGCAGTCAATGATACAAGCGACCGCAGAAGAGCGCGCTCGCAGGGCAGACACTCACAAATCGAGAAGAGCAGGAGAACTGTTGGACCTGCAGGTGGGCGATTTGGTCGAGTTTTATCGCAAAGCTTCATCCAAGGACGTTGTGTCTTGGCTTGGACCAGCAGTGGTGACCGACTTAGTATCCTTGAAGGACGGAGTGATCGGCATTCGCTGGCAGAGTCGGCTCTTAACTTGCCGAGTGCAGGATGTTAGAAGAGCCATGACGTATTTTCAACTTCACGATCATGTGCAACAGGAATCGCCGGTCCACGTTTTGCGCCAAGCTGCAGAAGATCACAATGGATTTGCAGTGCGTGTGGGTTGGTTTCAACGACAAAACGAGTGGATTTCCTTTGAAGCCAATGCGCGTCATGGGAAGACACTACTTGCTGGGCTTCATGTTGCCGCCTGTTGCTTAGGTTTGAATGGTGTGGTGAATTTCAGATTTGGTGCTGAGATTGAAGCATTGCCGCCGATCAATTCAGATGATACTTTAGTGCTCTGGTGGAAGCGCGGCGATATCTCTCAGTGGTACACTTCGTTTCTGATTGGGACTCACCATATCAACCTGGGACGACTCACCGGATGTCACTGCAGTGAGGTGGCTTTGGTTCAGTTTGTGATGACTGACACTGCAGGTGTGCAATCAGTGCGGAGATGTTTCCCTTTTGTGCAGAATCTTGGTGGGATTTATGATCCATATGCGCCCAAGGTTCAGGCAGTGGAGTTTGATGATGATGAGACAAGATCGACTATATCCTCGCAGACGCAATTTAATCCTGATAATCAGAGGCGAACGCGAGGTCCCAAAATGATTACGAACTCCGACACTCGTGCTGCAGTGGTGAATCCCGTGGCGACGAGTGATGTTTCAGATGCAGAACATGGGGACGGACAAGATGCTACAGCAGCAGCTAGCATAGCTTTGGTTGTGGAGTCCATGACTGACTGGTTACAGTACAGCGTGCAGGAATGCAACATGGCGAGTTGCTCGGAATCGCGCTGGCAGGAACCAGCTTGCAATTTGGATTGCATTGTTCTTGAGCGGATGGATCTTCATCAGGAGCTACTTGAACCTGCAGAATTGGTTTTTGACTTTCGACGAAGTCAATATTTGACGAGCAAGCAGCGACCGCTTGAACCAGACGAAGAGCTGGTGATGATGTATGAAGCCGGCTCGGAAGTCAAGGCGGTAATCCAACGGGTCAACAATGTGCTCACGCATGCAGAAGCGTTGGAAAACGCGGAGAAGTGTACTGAGATTCTTGAAGGAATCAGCAGTGCTGCGGTGTTGGCTGAACGACAGGACTCTGGGAAGATGAGTTTACGTTTAGACTGTGTGATTGACGCACGGGCAGTTCTTGACAGCGTCACCGCTGACGAGATTCGCACCCCCAATGACAAGATCATGTTGATCCACGCGCTTCGTTTGCGTGAACTGCTTGACAGCAAGCAGCTTGATCAGCTCATTTGGTGCGATACGCGAGACATGCTGGCTGATGGGTTGAACAAGGGCAGTGTTTCGAGAGTTGAATTGCAGAGACTTTGCAGTGAAGGTGTCTGGGAGATTTGTCATGACTTGATTTGCCGCAGAACTCGAGGAGTCGCAGCTTTGACGAAGTCAGGTGATCGTGACTAGCACTTGAGTAGGCAACCTGAGTCGAAAGGTACCTGGCCCTCTTTGTCCCAACATCATGCATGGTGATTTAACATTCAGTAGTTTGCAGTTTCCATCCGTTGCCGCAGTCTGCAGATCAGATGCCTCTAGGCAGAACGTGTTTCACTGATTCCCTTTGCAGTGCATGGTGCGTGTCTTTGCAGGACTGAATTCGAGACGGAAGCTGCACAGCGAAGCAACAGCAAAAGGTGTGGCTCTGGATCGCCCCGTCATCTTGGGGATGCATGGCACGGCAAGGGTTTCCGAGGCTGAGTGTCGATTCAACTGTGGAGAGTTCGCTTCTTGCTGGACGCCCTCTTTTTGATATGCGCCCTTTCTTTGTCAACTTCAGATCCATCCGGAGGCCCAAAAACCAACTTGGAGTGGCTGCCCAGGTTCGCGAGTCACTTCATGGAATAGAAAGTACTTCCTGTCAGCTTGCCTGATTCTTGCCGGGCAAACCGGTGGGATTCCTAGGCGACCGAGCGTGGTCAATTGCTCAGCACAGAAAGGTGTAGCCTAAACGACTTTGTCTTTTGGGTGGTCGGTTCCGGAGTCAGCGAAGTGGTGGCAAAATTGGTGAAAAAGCAAGCAGGCCCTCCCCTTGAAAGGAGAACAAGGGTCGTTGAAACTCAGAGCTTTCTTCCATGGCTGCAGTTGCTGCATTGCGACCTTCCGCAAAGTGGAAACCCACCCTGCGACACCCAGACCCCCCAAAAAAAAAGCAGGCATCCCAACAGCAACCGGGTCCCACCCTCCGGAACCAACCTGAAATCTAGGAGGGGGCCCTCTAGAAGCATGGGCAGAAAGGGTCAAAATACCCAGCAGGAGTTTCTTGAACTTCCAAACTTGCCTTCCAACACCTAGGACTCAATTCAAAAGGGGGGAATTTCCAACCTTCTTGCTGGTTTCTTAGATTGGGATGGTTAGTGTTTCCTTGTTTTCCTAGGGCCGGGTTTGTTCTGAGGTTTGGTGCGCTGGTTTTCTTGGATTGGGGAGCGGTCACACGCAGGACCTTGGCCTCCGATGCGTGGTCAACACCTCCGTCCAGGCCGATCGTCGCTGGTACCTGGGTCTGTCTTACTTTGAGGACCCCCGCCCCTGGTTTTAAAAGGGAACCTTCTTTTTTTTGAGACCCACCTGGGTTGACTCAAGGAGTGCCCCACATGCGTGTTTTACGTGCAGATGAAAATACGTCGTATGGCTGAAGAAAGTCTTGTAATGTAGTGTAGCGGAGTGATGAAAGGTAATGTAATGGAATGTAAGTATGCATGCATGCATGCATGCATGCATGCATGCATGCGCGCATGTATTTGTCCTGTATGTCTGGAATGCATGCAATGTATGTAATGTATGTTTGCATGCATGCATGTATGCAATGTATGTATGTAGCGTAACGTGACGCAACGTAACGCAGCTTAACGTATGTAATGCAATGTACTGTAATGTGTTGTAATGTAATGTAATGTAATGTAAGGCAATGGTAATGGTAATGGTAATGTAATGTAATGTATGTAATGCAATGTATGTAATGTATGTATGGAATGTATGTATGCATTTATGTATGTAATGTATGTATGTATTTATGTATGTATGTATGTATGTGTGTAATGTATGTATGTATGTATGTATGTATGTATGTATGTATGTATGTATGTATGTATGTATGTATGTATGTATGTATGTATGTATGTATGTATGTATGTAATGTATGTAATGTAGGTATGTATGTATGTATGTAATGTATGTATGTAATGTATGTATGTATGTATGTAATGTAATGTAATGTAATGTAATGTAATGTAATGTAATGTAATGTAATGTAATGTAATGTAACGTAATGTAACGTAATGTATGTATGTATGTATGTTTGTATGTATGTAATACATGTATGTATGTATGTATGTATGTAATGTATGTATGTAATGTATGTATGTAATGTATGTATGTAAGTATGTATGTATGTATCAATGTATGTATGTATGTATGTAATGTATGTATGTATGTATGTGTGTACTGTATGTATCTATGTATGTATGTATGTATGTATGTATGTATGTAATGTATGTATGTATGTATGTATGTAACGTATGTGTGTATGTATGCATGTATGTATGTATGTATGTAATGTATGTATGTATGTACGTATGTAATGTACGTATGTATGTATGTATGTATGTATGTAGGTACGTAGGTATGTATGTATGTATGTACGTATGTATGTCATGTATGTATGTATGTATGTATGTATGTATTTATGTATGTATGCATGCATTAATGTAATGCATTGTAATGTATGTATGTAATGTATGTATGTGTGTATGTATGTAATGTATGCAGTGTAGTGTAGTGTAGTGTAGTGTAGTGTAGTGTAGTGTAGTGTATGTATGTATGTATGTATGTGTGCATGTATGTATGCAATCTATGTATGTATGCAATGCAATGTAGTGCAATGCAACGTAATGTAATGTAATGTAATGTAGTGTATGTAATGTAGTGTATGTAATGTAATGTATGTATGTATGTATGTATGCATGTATATAATGTCATGTATGAACTGTTTGCATGCATGCATGTATGTATGTACGTATGCATGTATGTTTGTACGTAATGCAATGCAATGCAATGCATTTTTAATGCAGTGTAATGTAATGATTACATTACATACATTACATTACATTACATTGATTTGCACAACATACAAACGTACATGCATACGTACACACATACATGCATGCATGCATGCATGCATACAGTTCATACAAACATACATACACACATGCATTTCATACATGACATCATATACATAGATGCATTACATACACTACATTACATTACATTACATTACATTACATGACATTACATACAAACATACATGCATACGTACATGCATGCATGCATACATTACCTAAATACATACATACATACATACATACATACATACATACAGATATACATACATACATGCATGCATTTCATACATGACATTACATACATAGATACATTACATTACATATTCTCGATGTATGTAATCTCATCTATGAAATGTTTGCATGCATGTATGTATGTATGTATGTCTGTATTTATGTATGTACGTATGCATGTATGTTTGTATGTAATGCAACGCAATGCAATGCATTGCAATGCAATGTAATGTAATGTAATGTAGTGTATGTAATGTAATGTATCTATGTATGTAATGTCATGTATGAACTGTATGCATGCATGCATGTATGTATGTATGTTTGTATGTAATGCAATGCAATGCAATGCAACGTAATGCATTTTTTGCAATGTAATGCAATGCAATGCAATGAAATGTAATGTATGCAATGTAGTATATCGATGTATGTAATGTCATGTGTGAAATGTATGCATGTATGTATGTAATGTAGTGTAGTGTAATGTAATGTAATGTAAGTATGTATGTATTTATGTATGCATGTATGTATGTAAGGCAATGCAATGCAATGCAATGCAATGCACTTTTTTGCAATTTATTTTTTGCAATGTAATGTAATGTAGTGTATGTAATGTAATATATCGATGTATGTAATGGCATGTATGAAATGTATGCATGCATGTATGTATGTAATGTACTGTAATGTAATGTAATGTAATGTATGTATGTAATGCAATGCAATTCAATGCAATGCAATGCAATGCAAGGCATTTTTTTGCAATGTAATGCAATGCATTTCAATGTAATCTAATGTATGTAATGTAATATATTGATGTATGTAATGTCATGTATGAAATGTATGCATGTATGTATGTATGTATGTCTGTATTTATGTATGTAATGTATGTCGTATGTATGTACGTATGCATGTATGTTTGTATGTAATGCAATGCAATGCACTGCAATGCAATGTAATGTACTGCAATGCAATGCACTGCATTTTTTTGCAATGTAATGCAATGCATTTCAATGTAATGTAATGTATGTAATGTAATATATCGATGTATGTAATGTCATGTATGAAATGTATGCATGTATGTATGTATGTATGTCTGTATTTATGTATGTAATGTATGTCGTATGTATGTACGTATGCATGTATGTTTGTATGTAATGCAATGCAATGCACTGCAATGCAATGTAATGTAATGCAATGCAATGCACTGCATTTTTTGCAATGTAATGCAATGCATTTCAATGTAATGTAATGTATGTAATGTAATATATCGATGTATGTAATGTCATGTATGAAATGTATGCATGTATGTATGTATGTATGTCTGTATTTATGTATGTAATGTATGTCGTATGTATGTACGTATGCATGTATGTTTGTATGTAATGCAATGCACTGCAATGCAATGTAATGTAATGCAATGCAATGCACTGCATTTTTTGCAATGTAATGCAATGCATTTCAATGTAATGTAATGTATGTAATGTAATATATCGATGTATGTAATGTCATGTATGAAATGTATGCATGTATGTATGTATGTATGTCTGTATTTATGTATGTAATGTATGTCGTATGTATGTACGTATGCATGTATGTTTGTATGCAATGCACTGCAATGCAATGTAATGTAATGTAATGCAATGCAATGCAATGCATTGTTTGCAATGTAATGCAATGCATTTCAATGTAATGTAATGTATGTAATGTAATATATCGATGTATGTAATGTCATGTATGAAATGTATGCATGTATGTATGTATGTATGTCTGTATTTATGTATGTAATGTATGTCGTATGTATGTACGTATGCATGTATGTTTGTATGCAATGCAATGCAATGTAATTTCTATCACCTTGCCTCCCCGTCCCCGGGCACGGGGGGGCGGACGACTCGACTCGGTGAGGTGCCCGGGCCTTCCGCGCGCTGCGAGGTGGAGCTCCAAAGCGCCGCCTCAGTGATGCAGCTGCAGCTCCAGGTCGGGAGCCGCGAGCCGGCGAGCAGTCGGCGTTCGGAGCGCGGCTTGAGCGGTGGGGTCGGCTTTTATTTGCTTGAGGCCTGAGGGTTTTTCCTCGTCGCGCTGGCGCTAGGCCCGGCATGTCTGGCATTTGCTTAAGGATATGTTTAAAAAAAAGCAAATGTTGATTCTGAAAGGAACTTATCACTACTGGACATACTTATTTATTTTTCCTTGGGGCCTTAGCCAAATGGAAGTAAGTGGCGTAAGCGGTGGGTAAGTGGTGGGTAAAGCGTGTGCGGAATTCACCTGTAACTTAAGTTAACCTGTAAAAACTGGAGCTGAAGTGGTGGTGTGGACCCAGGGTGTAAGGGCGTAGCCCTGCTGCCCAACCCTGGTGGAGTTCCATCCTGATATGAAAGACAGTAGAAGTAAACTTGGCGCGAAGGTGTCCGGCCATCCTTTAACGGTGGCTCAACCAGCGAATCATTTGGTCCAACTTAGCTTTTCAGGTCTTGGTTGGCGAAAGGTGGTTGGGTGTTCGTATTTTACACATCAAAAGTTGATAACCCACTGTTGGTGGATGTTGGATGGATCTTTTTGTCACATCCCACCAGCTTCACTTTGGGATCGAAGAACCACGAAGTACTAAACCCATAGGGAGGTACAACCCACCAAAGTGATCCGGATTGGACACCCCCTGCTATGGATGGACGGCATCCATTTTGCACCGCTTCGAACCCATAGGAGAAAACATAACCGTTGGTTGCTATTTACAGGTAAATCGAATCATTCCGTTGGGTTTCGGAACGGTGGTGCAGGCTTTCGTCCACAGTGGGTTGTAACTTTGTGAACTTCGCCCTAGGCCTTTGAAACTGTAGAAGCAAATGCCTTCTCCCAGCCTGCGAAAGGTTAGACCTGTTGCTCAGGAAGCACGGCTCAGATAGTGCATGGTTTTGGTTGAAATGCTGTGGATGGAGATCCATTTCGCATCAGTGATGGATAAACCTTATGAAGGGGGCAAACCATCCACCAACTGGTGCGAGTCGGATTTTGTTGAGTTGGTTCTAATATAGTTCTATCCATCTCATAAGTCATAAGTTTCCTTAAGTGGCGTTAACCCGTTGGTGGGTTATATCCCGTTTGACTAACCACTTGCTAGCTTGGCGAATCGAACATCCAAGCAGGCCCGAACCTTAAAATTGGTTTGCACAGCTTTGAGCTGGTTCCCTTTTCGGGTGGTTGAAAGGGAAGCCAAAAAGGAAATCCAAGCAATTCAGGCTGTCCCCCTATTTTGATCTTGACATGGTCACATAGGGTATAGCAGGGACCCCAATAGTTCCAAAGAAACTCGTCCCTTGTACGCTGAATCAAGATGTCCTATGCAAATATCAGGCGCCAAAAAAAACGAAAGTGCTCTTTCCAACTGCAACTAAGGGAAAGGATGCGGCGACTTCCAAAAGATCCTTTTGGTCTTAAAGGCAGAGATCCTAAAAACACTGGTCCGGCAGATGCTCCTTTAATTCCTTTTGGGGGGGTGGGAATCTCCTTTTAAACCACATAGTTTTTCTTTCAGGTTCTTTGGGTTGCTAGAGTTGGTGTGGCAAAACCACAGCCCCATGTAGAATTGAAGCATGTTGTGACAAGCTTGAATCGAGTTTTGGTTCACCCACGTCTGGTCATAAATTGGAGATGCGAATCATATCACTTTTCACTAAAATATGAAAACTACATTTATTGAGGGGTTACCTGACTTGTAGTGACTGAACGTGAGGATTGATTGCAAGAAGCAGCCAGTTTGTTCAAGGTCAAACAGCTGTGGGTGCTGCCCTTTCAGTCCTCACGGAATTGCGGGAGTGTGTTTTATTGAGTTTGCACCCCTGTTTCGTCGTGGAAAACCAGAACGACAGCCCAAACCATTTTCGCCTAAACTGCCCTCAGTATGCCCTTTGCATTTTCACCAACAGTTGGAAAAGTTTGCCAACATTTTTTGGGCGAAATTGATGCCGATATATGCCTATGGTTGCAGTGCCCGTCTTCCAGGAACCGTTCTCAACATCCTCGCCATGTGAGCTGTAGTTCCCCAATGGCTCTGTCAGTTTCGTGAATGCCAGGATCCATGGCAACCATTTTTTTTTATTCACACATTGGGCTCACGTCTAAGGCAGACGGCGGCGGGGGTGGGGGGGGCAGGGCAGGACAAAAATCAACTGCAACCGCAAACCACTGCAGGATTTGGCACAAATCCGGATGAAAGACACGTTTTGTGTGACTCTTATGGGCAGATGCGTAGGTGCCCATCGAGGATGGCTTGCCTGGGCAAGTTGCAGCCACCTGCGAGTGCGGAACTCGGAGGGCACCGATGGCAAATGCATTCCTAACCAATCCAAAAGAAACATATGGCAAACTCCAAAATCCCAAATGGTTGGTTTCTTAGTGGTTTCACTTTGATATCCTTTACTTAAATCACGCCCACCATGGAGGCATGCATGATTGTGACTAACAATTAACTGCTACAAAGTTACGTGTTCAACTGGTTTCCTTGGTTCAGTCAAGTGACTCACTCTGCAACGATTTCTTAAAGGCTGCACCGTCTCTGCATTGGCATTCTCTGTTCAGCCCCATCAATACGAAGTCATTTTTCCCAAGGAATCCAAAAGGCGACCAACCGAGTTGCAACAGCGCATTTTACCTGAAGTTTGTTGAGAGACGGTGAATCATGAATTTGTTTATTCAGATTATCCACATCCGTGTATCGTGGCCACCCTGCTGCTATTCCGAGGCTGACGCCGGATTTGACCTTGTTGCATTTCCGCACAAGGCTGGTTGCAGAATTTGTCTTGGAAAGATTGGCAGAAACTCACCAGGAGGTGAAATCAATAGAAGCTATATTGACAATGATTCATTGCCTGATGTGCTGCAGCGTATCAAAAAAAATAGTTGGGCCATTGTTGTTGAGTTGCAAGTTTCTTTTTGAATGGACGGTCCCAATTTTTTTGCATGTTCATGCAGTTACTTTCAAGGCTGGTGTTGATGATTGAATCATCATTGTTTCAGTTTTTGTTCATGAAGGAATGACCACTCCATTTCAACAGTTGACAGTGTCCAAATAGTTGAATCGGTTTGCGATGTGTTGCAGCCCACAACATGTGTCCGTCCATGTTACGCGATGCTTTGCTTCAGGGGCAAAGCTGGAATATATATATATATATATACCAGGTTTGGTGGTTTTGTAGACGTTTTGTCTGTTCACCGTTTGTTGCTGTCCCATTTGATCCTGCATACAGCAATGCATGGCTGTTACATTGGCGGAAGCCGGCGTTGCTCACTCGCTCTCCACTGCGTTTGCCACTTCCAGCACCCAATTTCGGACATGACTCCGTGTGATTGTTTCGACATTGGCTGCTATGGGGACTCAATTGGTCAGTGGCACCCCGGTTTTTTTCCCCAACCCAACAGGCTCCCTTTCTTCAAAACCGGGCAAGAGAAATGTTGGTCAGATTGTCACTTCGTTTGGCGCAAGATGCCGCAGCATTTGAACATCACCAGCACTTGATTTCCCATTTGCAAAAAACTGTTTAAAAAATTGGAAAATATTATCCATGTCGAGCCATGGCTATTTGATGCTGTTTTGACTTGATCGATTTGTTTGTTGCGGTTGATTGGATATTATTTGTTGTATTAATTGAGTTGATTTGCATTAGTTTTATTTGGTTTGAATTTACTGTTTGCTCTGAGTTGTTTTGATTGACTGGATTTGATTTGGTGTCATTTTATGTGGTTCGATTTGTTTTCCGTGGTTCCACCCAATAGTTTGCAATGGGTTGGATCGAATTGTCGTTGGTGATCATATTGGTTTACTATGCCGTGTCCCATCGAGAGTTTGTTTTTAGGTTGTAGAGAACTTTGATTCAGGCCTTGGGGGTTTGGCAGTCATATTCTAGGTCCCCTGCGAGGTGCCTTTTGACCAATTTTTGGGGGCAGGGTTCCCCTACTAAAGTAGAATACCAGGGGAAAAACAAGTACCCGTATTCTAGCCTGTCCACTGGAGGACCTAATATTGTTTTGTTCTGTTTTGATTTGATTCGCTTTCACTGGATTCATCCATGAACCCCTAGGGGGTCAAGTGGAGGTGGGTTATTTGCATAAGCCCGGATAGGCCAAGGAGAAAGCCTTAATAAAATGCCTTGGGGTTAACCAAGGAGTCACCCCCCGCCCCTGTTCGCCCCCTTTGGTCACCTCCATGATTCATTCATTCCATGATTCGGATGGAACCGAAGCTTTCGGCGCAGGTCTTTGGCATGTGAGACCTTGCGTTTGGCCGAGACCGCCATTCGCGCACCGCGGCCGAGAAATGATTTTTCCGTGGAATCGCCGTCGCTTTGCGCCGTTTTGATCGGCGGTTCGCACTAAAACCTCCCGGGCAATTCACGTGGAACCTGACAAAGGCCCAGTGCCTTTGAAAGTAAAATGGGGACCAAAGCCAGGAATCCCCAAACATCAGGTTCCATGTTAATGGGTGGGAGGTGGTTTGCAAGGGTTGATTCCGCGTTCCACCTTGGGGTTGTGTTGTTTTTCAGAGACAGGTGTTCCTGAGGCTAGAACGCTAGAACCCCTGAGGACGATGGTCTTAAAGTTTGTAAGCCTGTGCTGCATTTGGGAGTCGGGGCATGCGTGAAATTTCTCAAAGAGGGACAAACTCCCAACCATGTCCTCTTGGGGGAACAAGTCATTTTGACCACTCACATGGATTTGAGATGCTCACGGAGCGGCTGGATAAACCAGAAGCCGTATTTTTTATATGTCCCTCACCATTATTTTTTCCGCACACCCTATGTCATACCCGGCGAGGGTTCAATGACAAGGGTTGCTTGCCAATTTATTCAATGCCATCCAAGAAGGGATTCCCAAAACAGGATGCCCAAAGATGACCCCCAATATATGGTTCAATCATAATGTAATCGGGCGCAGGCATTTGTCGCCTTGAAGTTACGACCAATAAGCCATGTTAGAAAAACGGGAACCCCTGCATTTGTTCTTTGAACATCCATTGAATAAAAGCAAGTAACATCGTTCCAGCTTCACCAGATGTTCGGGCATTGCAGCTGATGACAACAAGAGCTGTGAATCATCTCTCCGCTTGGGGTGTGTGTGAGTGGGTGCCGTTGCTTGTTTGTTTGTTTGCTTGTTTGTTTGTTTTTGTTTTTGCTTGCCTGCCTGCGTTGCCTTGGCTTGGCTTGCGTTGCCTTGCGTTGCCTTGCGTTGCCTTGCGTTGCCTTGCGTTGCGTTGCCTTGCGTTGCGTTGCCTTGCCTTGCCTTGCCTTGCCTTGCCTTGCGTTGCCTTGCCTTGCCTTGCCTTGCCTTGCCTTGCCTTGCTTTGCTTTGCTTTGCTTTGCTTTGCTTTGCTTGCTTGCTTGTTTGTTTGTTTGTTTGTTTGTTTGTTGGTTGATTGTGTGTTTGCTTGTTTGTTTGCTTGCTTGTTTGTTTGTTTGTTTGTTTGTTTGTGTGTTTGTTTGGGTTGGTTGGTTGTTTGGCGTGTGTGCGTGTGTCAAACCAAACATGAACGCGCTACCATTTGCGGAAGTTCTGACTTCACACCCTCCTTTTTGTTGCGGGTCTACTCGAGTGTTGTATGTTTTGTTGTTCCCCTTAAATTCGGAAGGGAAACCTAGAGGAAACATGTCGTGTTGAGGATTCCCTAATCTGAGGCACACCCGGTCCTGTTGAGACGACAATGTGTGAAAATATGTATCCCTCAACCAAAGTTCACACAACCCGCATTGGCTATGTTGTTTTTTGTTTGGAACTCATTTGGGCACGGGTATTGCATGGTATAAGGGTCCTGCAGAAACGCTGGGTTTCCTTCGGTTGCCCCACCCCTTTGGTCGCTTGGTGCAGAGCCGATTGTCGGGACACGGGGCCACGGGTACCTCGAGGCATTTATCAATGACCTGGCAGCGCGTTTGGTCTGCAACAAGGCGTGGGTTCGGTCCGTGGCTTTGGAATAAGTTGCAAGTGGGGGGCCCCGAATTGCTGGGGTGTTTTCTGAATTGTTTTTAAATCTCACAGTGGGATTGTTGGAAAATTCCGGACAGGGGCTGCGGTTCCAGAAAGAAAATTCCGTTTGATGAATTTGAAGTGAGTGTCCTTCAAGTGGGGTGATGTTGGGACAGAATAGAACTGAGAGCCCTGCACCCTCTGGAATTTCATCAATGGTTCGTTCCATTTTCCTCTTCCACTCAGAAGATGAGCACACAATTTGACCACCCCTGAAAAAAAAAACCTCGTGGGGCGTGTTCAGCCAGGTTCTTCAAAGGCAATCCGGATCCTTCCCTTGGGTTGCAAACATGTCACCATTCGGTTTCTGAAGTGGTCTTGGGGAATTTGATTCGGCAACGAAGCCGTTTGGTGAGAGCCTTTGGGTGGACTTGTCTAGCAACCTGTTGAGTTCTGCGGAGTTGTTTTGGTATATCTCTCATTTGCACACATGGGTATGTATTCAACTATAGACAGCTTATTAGGCGTGTGTATATATATACACATATATATATATGTATGTGCACATCTTAGATGTTTGTGTTGACTAAAATGTTGAACAAAGATAATACGCTGACCAAGGGGGCTGCCTTTTTTGGAGGTTAAACCCCTTTAAAATCAACTAGCACGAAAAGCTGCCCTTGTTTCCCATGGCCACTGGGGGTCTTGGTTGCCAAGAGCTAAATAACACCTGCGCGTGAATTTCCCTGCAAAAAACCCCAATGCCAAAGAAATAGATATGCACGTTCGAGTGTGCTCAGGGTTCGGACCACAAAGGTTGGAAAAGCGCTGGTTGAACCCTGTGCAGAGCCCGTATTCAGAGTAGACGCGCCAGGTGTCCTCCTGGATCGGCACATCGCTGTCCCAGGCGGGCATTGGCGATGGTCGTTGCGGACGTGCGCAGCGTGTTAGCACTGTGTGCTCTTTGTGCGTCTCTTCGTGCTTGGCACATGTGATTCTCGGCAGAAGTACTTATTGGCATGTAACACGCGGCATACTTCGTTGGGATGGTTGGGAATCATGTCTATGTGGCATATTCATTTGGCACAATTAGGCCTTTAGTTATGCTTGCTTGGTATATTGGATAACATTGGCATGCCACCTGGCACGCCAATGTTAGCGCTCGGGAGGTGGTCCTTGGCGCATGTGTTTCCTTCTCAGGGTTGGGGTGGGGTTTTCTGTTTGGGCGGTTGCGAGCTGCTCATGAATGGATGGTTGGTCAGACTGCCATTTAGAAAACCGCAGGTCGGCATAGCACTTGAATTGTGGCACGGACTGCATAAACGGCTAGATGGGTGTGTCTCCAAATAGCGGAGCCCTCCAAATCTCTTGTTGCTCTTTTGCTTTCCCTTGAAACCAACCCGAAAAAAATCACCCTCGAAAGAGCGCCATGCCCACTTTGGAGCCCAAAGTCTCTCCCGCGCGCGAAATCTTCGGCGAGTCCGAGAGATCCCCGCGCAGGCGAGCGCGGCGCTGCGCAGCAAGGCGGCGCCGTTCCTGAAGCCGGCGAAGGCCAGGGAGCGAGATGCGCGACCCTTCCGGTTTCGGAGGACTCGAAGCTCTCAACTCTCAAAAGCCTAGGAGCAAGTACCAAGCGGCTCCAAACCAGTCAGAGGGAAGGGTGAGATTGATCAGGGCTCCTGGAAAGATCGATGCATCTTGCTTGCAACCATTTGAGTTACATGTTGCTTGCTTTTTCAACACCGAAAGGGTTGAAACCTCCATTTCCAAGTTGCAATGTTCAGGTGTAGAATGTATGGATCCCTGTTTTGACCTCCAGGTTTTACCTTGGCTCCCAGCCATCCGGTTCCTTAGGTTTTTAGCTTTGGCGTTTGCTAGCTTAGTGTTAGGGTGTCCATGTACATCATGTAGCCCACAGAAAGGTATACTTGTTAGCAGGGGTTTTATGCCTCACTGTTCCCTTGGCGGGGTCTCCTCTCAGCCTACTTTTCACTGCAAGGTAGAGTACGGGACAGGGTCAGAGAATAAGTATGATCTTTGTGGGCCAAGCTCGGGGTAGTTTGCGGGGGTGGGGAGGTCAGAGCGGCGCAAAATTTGCAGGAGAACTCCCTTGACCAGGCCTCAGCAGCAGCTGAGATTTATGTGTTATGCGTTATTTATCATGTTTTGGTTTCGCTGGATATGTGTGCGGATGTGGTCAGCGATTCCAACTTCGGAGTTGATCTGTCCAGGCGGCAGCCTTGTCTGCCGCATGGGATGTTGTACACTCCTGTTTGTTTTCCCTCTTTTTTTTCTTGTTTTTTCGGGTGGGTCTTCCTTTGCGTGGGTCTAGTCATGGAAAGCGGCCCTCGTGGCGGCATGAGTTCCTTGACAGTGCGTTGGTTCGACACCTCGATGACTTGGCGGATGCAGCGCATCTTCTGTCCCTAGGGACAGACAGTTTGACGATACACTCGAGTGCGCGCCAGTGAATGCTATTGACACTCCAGACTCAGATTGATTCGTGTTTACACTTGGCTGCGAACAACGCGGCCACCCATGACCAGGATTGATTTCGGCCTTTGGGTCAATGCTGCCACCTTGGGTGGTTTTCGCTGTGCAGCAACTCTGCGTTCGGGTACTGTACATGAAGATGATAATCATCATCGGTGGTGGAAGCCATTCTCACATTGACGGGACAATTCCGGTTTGTTCACTATATACACATGTCATGATGCAAATCACTGTATGTGTACATATATATATATATATACCTATATATATATGTATGTACACATATGTGCATTATCTAAACATATATATATATATATATAGTTAATGTCCGTACATATATATATATATATAACGTCTTTCTCGGAACCACTCCATTCAGGCACTCCCGGTGCCAGCGGTGGAGGCTCTGGACTTACAAGAGGTCTTTTGGAAGGCCGGGAGCTGTGGATTCCGCCCTTTTCTGGCCGCTGGGATAGGCAGGGAATGAGTTGGAATGACCCTAATAAAAACATGCAACAGGTGGTTTCCTTTAGGGGAATGCCTAGGTTCATTCCCACGTTCCCTACTGAGCACCTGCAAGTGTTTCTCATGTTTGTTTGGGGGAAGAGTTCCCTAACTCAACCAACCCAAAAAGGAAGCCTTTTGTTTTCGTTTTTTTCTATGGCCACGGAGTGTTTTGAGTGCTTCCTGTGTTCTCGTTGCTTTTGTTTTCTCCAGCTAGAAGCCGAGTAGCCGAGTACACTCCCAGAGTCGGTCCAGAGCTGTGGGATTTTAGGAACTGGAAGTGCACTCGGCTGGAGTCCCTTTGCTTCCCACCTGGCTGTGGCTCCAAAAACCGGAATTCCAAAATGGGTTACCCTGGGAAGTGGAAACATGGACCAAAACCTGCGGTTTGCCCCTTTTTGAGCCGCACCCACCTAGCCAGCACCTTCCTAAGGAACCACCTCAAAATGGTTGAGCATGAATCCCCAAATGATGTCCAAAGGGTCCCCAATTCAAACTCATAGCCACCTATTCAGACCCAGGGTCTCCTTGGACGTGGTGTTTCTCTCAGATGGTTTGCACTTTACCTTTTAACCATCCATATAGTATACCTTCATTTGCACCTGATCCCATGGTTGTCAGAGGCCCCCAAAGAAGGGACCCCCAACAAAGGAACCCTGTTGGCCGTGCCATCTTTGCTTTCGGCAACTTACACCATGACTTTGGCGGCGAATTGAGTCGCTCCCTTTTCACGTCCCTGAGCAGGTTCTTGTTGACACACTGACACATACCCAGACTGAAACCACTGGTTGGCTGGTTTCCAATAAGTGGACCACATGTCCAAGGTGTCCAAATAGTACAAGCCCATGCTTAAGGTTCCAATGCCCAAGAGGGCTTTGTGAAATTTGGGAAATATTTTTAAAAAAAAAATGAACCCAAAGGGTTAACCAACACAAAAAGCCAAGCCCCTGAGAAGCCGTTGCTTCTGATTCCAAACCTATTTGGTCTGTTCAAATGGAATCCTTAATCCTAACCTTGGGTTACGCCAAGATTTGGTCCCCTATGTAGTTGCTTCCCTTTTTCGCGGTTCTTGGCCAACCCATGTTGAACAACCCGGAAAAGACGGGACGCGTGTTTTCCAGCCACAAAGCGGTTTTGCGACCCTTTACCTTTTGGTTGGGTCCAAGAACCCCCCCAGTGAACCACGATTGAGTTCTCGTTTTGCTGGTGTCGTCTTCCCGCCAAGCCAGGGGCCCATGGGCCGCGTGCTGCGGTCCTTCATGAAGGAGGCCTTTCGTCGCTTTCGGCGGGTCCGGTCATTCGCGCGCAACGCGGCGGGGTCTCGCCCCCGAAGGTCCCTCCCTTTGTTTGGACCTTTGGGTAGCCTAAGTAGAAGCACATATAAGAACCTCACGGGTGTGCCTTCTTTAAAGGGACCTCCCAAAATGGCAAAAGCGGTTTCCCTGTTGGCTTCCATTTAAAAAACACCCAACAAGGGGTACCACCCCCGCAAAAAAAAACGCCACACCCTGATGGTCGCCTCCCAAGGCGGAATTATGGCTGTGGGTCAAAAATATGTACCCAAAATGGGTTGCCCCGGCAAGTGGAGACATGGACCAAAACCTGCGGTCCAACCAATTCCTGGTGGTTTAATCTTGACTGCCCAGATGAACCTTTTGCCAGGTGATACATACCGGCAACGCCGCCCAGATGGACAAGGCTTGCCGTGTCAACCGTTTCGTTCTTCGTTTCTTCGCTTCGCTGGCCTGAGACCCCAAAACGCGGTTTGTCTCAAGTGGTACAAGGGGCTGAAACAGTGCGAATGGGTCTTCCATCGTGCGGTACTGTAGTTTGATGTAGACATACCCCGTAACCCCACTCTACATTATCTAGGAACTCGTCATAGGTGTCCTTTTCTTAGGTTAGTTTGGCTAGCAATAGACGGGTTCAAGTGGTTTAGATTGGTTTTATGCCATCCACTCAGCAGGGAAACCCATCTTTTTTCCAAGAGAGTTTGCTTTGGGGTGACTTTCCGGAATTCCATTTGGAAGCGAAATCGATTCGAACTTTTTAGGTGTGTCTGTTTTTACGGGACCCCAAAATGGTGTTTTGTTCCATTTGTTTTCCATTTGAATCCACCAACACACCTGGAGTTCCCCTGCCTACAAAAAGTGATGGGCTTGTTGCTGGTTCGGGCCTTGAGCAACGCACATTGCTCCGAGAATGCGCCCCTCCACGTTTTTGACTAACCTCCCCCAAAAATGGCGGCGACTGAGTCATTCGATTTGCCTAAGTTGCGGTCCGTTACTTGGAGATTGCTGACTTCTGGCTCGCTTAGCTGTAGCAAATTTAAGCATCTTTGGGGGGCATTGCACCAGACTTCGCAACCCTAGCCTGCAAGGAATGCTTTCAAAACGCGTAGGGTGAACTTCGAACTAAACTACTTTTTCCTGGAAATCAGCTCTTCTGAGAGTATTGAAGGGCATGCGGCATGTGTTTTGTTGAAGGGTACCCTTTTTGGGATGGTCACGTGAAAATAACTCCTCGCTTTGGGGAATAACCAACTCTTTTTTTTTGGGGGGGGGATTCCATGGATTCTACTGCAGGGAGTATTCCTCGACAAATGGAAGCGCGAACCATCTATTGGAGACCTCCCAATTCGCCCAAAGAGAGTGTGGGTACGGAACCTTGGCGGGTACATATGTTTGATTGCTCTTGAATAACGGATCTTTAGACTTTCACCTCTTGGAATTTGTTATTTGAAGACCCAGAAAACGAACACACTTTTGCAGAGTCGTCACAGCCACCAAGTTTCAACAGGAGACCGTTTGGCCCTCGTCAGGTCTTGGGCTTGCTACTCAGAGACCTGGGCTTCTCGGATGGCAAGGTGTCATTGCCCACCGATCGCCTCAGCCACAAGGCGGGTTCCGCGCAGCACCGCAGCATCGGCGCGGCAAAAGACGCGGTTTCGGACTGTTCACAGAAAATGCACAACCGTCGGACTCAACTAGCTCCCCCAGTAGTGCCCTTTTACCAACCTTTTTGGTTGGGAGGGTTCCCCTACTAAAGTAGACTACAGAAGATAATCGTGTACCAATTTATTCTAACCTCTCAAGTCTGGAGGACCTCGTCAAAAAAGCAGAAGAAGGGAGACTCAAACAACAAGACTACATCATAAAGGGCTCACTGTTCAATGAAAAGACATACTCATATCCGAATTTCAGCCATTCACACGGAGGTCCATCGCTGCGGTTGATCGATGTTTTTTGGGGTTGTCAACTGAGAGGCAGCTCAGAGGCTCGAAGGCTCCTTTGGCCCCTTTGCTTTGGACCCTTGTGCCGCGGATTGGTTTATTTATTTTTATTTGTTGGTTGATTATTGGTTTGTTGGTTAAGTGTTATTTGTAGTCTATGTTCTTTTTTGTGTTTGTTGAGTATGTTTTTGTTGGTTAGTTGTTATTTTATGATCATTATATTTATCTGTGTTTTGTTTAATAAATATTGTTAATTATTTTTGGTTGCTGTTTTTTTTTTGGGGGGGGTCTTTGGGCCAAGGCGTTCCCTTTTGGCAGCTTGTACGAGCCTGAAGGCGTCCAATTCAGTTAGGGCACAGCCACAAGACCCAAGCGCAGAATGTCCAAAGCGTTTTCCAGAAGCAGAAGCCAAATCCTCCCCTCCCCCAAACCCCCAGTAGGCTCTACTCTGGATGGTTGCCAAGTCCAGCCGCTTCTCGCACCATCGTTCAGAAACCCCACGGTATGGTTTCAACCGTGGTTTCGGAACGGTGCGAAGCGGAGGTCGCAACCATCCACTGTATGCTGTTGAGCAAAGGTCCTTAAAGTCTTAGGGTCTTTGGAGGAAACCAAGAGACAGGTTGGCATGAAACCCTCGATCGTGGAATCCGAACGCGAGGGCTCCCTGCCGTGGATCCAAGATCTGCTTCTGTCGCTGCAGACGCAGAGCCCGGAGACCCAAAACGAATCGACCACCGGAACTGAAATGAGCCGCTTGCTCAAAACCGATTTCGGGTAGATGAAGACTAAAGGATAGTCCCAGCCAAGATGAGTGCCGTCGCCTTGTTCTAGACCATGTGAATACGCATTGGTTTTGGACCGACGGTTGGTTTGCATTGGCAATGTTGACCCCGGAGTTTCAGAATCCTCAGGTTTTGTTCATTGGGTGCTTCTACCTGGGTGAAGTGTGGTTGGATTCAGACCATCTAGGCGAAAAAAACAACATAAGAATAAACCGGGGTGGATTCATTTGGGGTCTTTATCCCTCTGAAGTTCCCTGAAGTTCTCACAAGTGGCAGCCTGAAACTGGTGGCAGAAACTTTGTCAGCAGGTCTGGCTGGTTCTTTTGGGATCGAATGAGGAGGGGTTACTGTATCCATGTTGACCACAAAACAACGAGCAAAGCAGCAAACAGGAGGTTTGCATGTACCTGTTATGGATTTTCCTTTATGGCAATTGGGGGCAAGTAGACCTTGAACCAGCTCAAATTGGAGGACAAGAACCGAACCGCAGAGGGCTTTGGATGGTGGAATCAAAGGAAAAGCAGAAAGCCATTGACGCCCAGGCCTTCCCCCATCATGTTCGAAAGATGCGTATTTCAAAGGGGTTTTGCAATACAGCTACACACGCTCTATTCTGAGCCATGCTGGGTCCTTTTTTTAGGGAGTAATCCCAGAAGCGCAAAGCCTTTATGTTGGAGGGAAACCAGTTGTGACCTACTTGGGGATTCCTTGCTTCAGGTTTGTACCCAAGGCACTTGACAGGAGCCGCACCATGCAGATCCTGAGGGCATTTGCTTGCAAGCAGTGCAATGGGGGCTGTTTTGCTCTACCCTGGGTGGATTTCACGTCACCATTCGGATGCCAATGTTGATTGATTGGCAGATCATGGGATTTTTGCTTTGGCCGGCAGCAATGGGCAAAGCGTGAGCAGGGGCGTCCGCGCCGCCAGACTTGGCTTGCCTTTAGATTGGATCCCTGTACCTGGGCAAAGCACTTAGGCCTTTGGCCCCGGGAGATACTCTCCATTTGGCTAAACCTTTGAATTTGTGTGGGTGTGTCGTTTTTTGGGGTGTTCCCCAAAATGGCATCGGTTTTCGTTTTGGTTTCCAGTAGAAGCCACCAAAAAGGGGTACCAACTCAAGAAAAGACACAGCCGCCTGCCTTGGTTTACCTTCAGCCAGCAAGTTACGACGTTTTCCGTGTCGCGGTCTGACGTCGGCTTAGGTCCGTGTTCAGGTTTCTTTGACAAACCCCGCTGGTTGCATCCTTCGATCCTTTAAGCTACCAACTTGAGTTGTCGAGCACCCCGTTGTTTTGAGACACCCACTGGAAACCGAACGGTCCGAGACACACCCAGCTTGCCCTACGTGAGGCGCATCCCTGGATGTGACGCAGTTGGAGGATGGGTTTCTGCGCGAATCAAAGTGACTGCCGCAGGTTGCGACGAAAAAGAGGGATTCTGTAAAACGGTTTGGAGCTGGATTTTGTGGATCCACTGTAGAATTTTAAGAGAGTACTAAAAGATTACAAAGAAAAGACCAACAGGGGGAAGACCAGGTGAAATTCACAAAGCGCATCCAAACCGCTTTCTAGAGGGATGGCCTCTCCCCTTCTGTGGGATCTTGTTTGAATGTATGATTTGTTGGAGACTTAGATCGACCTGGTCTTGCAACATGTGGCCGGACTGGGAAAGAACCAGCGAGGGGATTGGAGGTTTAGTCAACATGTCCAGTCTATGTTCTATTTGGGAGTGAGTGACGTGGGGGAACCCACAAAATTTCCCGCCAAACAAACTCGCCCATTTCCTGTCCTTTTGGGGAAACAAGTTATTTTGACCATGTCGCATGGTTTTGGAACCGCCAAAGGCAGTGACAAAGTCCGTAACTCGCAGAATTCCATGAGGATTCCGCAAGGCGCAGACCTGAGCAGGGCTCCTCAAAAGAACTTGGCTATTTGAGAAATGTGGGTGTCTTCTTTGCGAAAGCCCTTTTTGGTTGGTTCAAAAAGCAGCCAAAGTCAAGCCACGTGTCTTAGGGTTTCCTCATTTTCAGCCAGACCCATGTTGCCTTCTCCACCTCATCCAAAGGGAGCCACCATCTTGTCTCACCCGGGGCTGGGGCGGGGGCATGTTCAGGATCAGGAAAACCCCGAGAGAAACGGCAGTCAGCCTGAGCTTGGTGGGTTCCAATGAAGCCATGTTCGGGGAGCAATTGATCAGGGGGACTGCAAATAACACGGATCAAAATGTTCACTTGTTCCAATGGATTGGCACAGGATCGGTAGTATCCATAGATGGGTCACTCAAGCATTTGCGGCCTGGAGAGCAGACTGTGTTCTCTTCACGCCGGGCTGCTCAACCATATGGATTACTAGGGGGTGTTCCCCCAAGTGAAGGGTCCCTCTCTTAAATGGGATACCCTCCTATCAATCTACCGCAGGAGTGGAGGGATTCATGAGGCCCTTGGTTGAGTATCCACATCAACCTACCGGATCAATTCTGGGGATTTGCACCCTCCAATGTGAATCTCGAGTTCATCGGAATGACCCGTTCTTATCAGAGGTGCTTCATCTCTTGGTAAGGAACTGCTCAATTTTGGGAGACCATGATCCGTTTTGGGGGCCTTCCTTTGACTATTCAGCCCGGGATGAATCCGAAGTCAACATTACCCCTTATTCATCCGCCAGGTTCCATTTACATCTGAAAGTTGGGGAGTGGGGGTCGCCTTGGGTTTTGGTTCCTTGGATTTGCCTCGGGTCTCCGAAAGTTGTGGTTATCTTGGGTTTCCTTGAGTGCTGGTTTCCTTTGGCCATTTCCTTCCTTTGGCTCCCTTAATGTCCCTTTTTCGCGGCCAATGTTTTCTTCGAATTCGAATTCGAGCGGCGCCAGGACCTTCACTTCCGTTTCACCGACCCAAGTGCTGCCAGCATCTCAGGCGAGCGAGCGAGCGAGCGATCGCCCGGCTGTGCTCGGAACACCTGGGACTTGAGACGGAACATGTCAATTGGAGGGGGGGACACCACCTGGACCCTCAAATCACCCGTTTAAAATGCGTGATCGCCCCAAGATCATGGGGGGATTTCCATTTCCGCATGGGTAGCTTGAGGGTGACCTTTTTGGCCTCGGCTCTTTGGAGTTTCCTGCATCTTTCCCCAGCGAGCGTTGTCTTTGGGGCTCAAAGTCTGCCCGCTGGAAAACTAGGAAGTCCGACATATATCACTGGGTCCTACATCCCCAGAAGGTAACCAAAAGGCGATGCATGGTGTTCGAGTCCTTGTAGACCCTAATTTGGCACTAGATCAGAATGTGATGTGAAGCCGCCACTGCTTCAGCAACAACTCGAAAGTTATAACGACGAATCATGTCCCCAGAAGCCCTATGAGATAAGCCCTCCTGTCCACGCCATGAAACCCACCAAAGAAATGGCCGCATTTAAAGGCAACGAGTCCAAACCGGAGTCAGGCTCAATACGGCCTTGGACGGGAGGGTATATTTCGGGTGTTGACCATATAACAGGGTCTAATATGATTTCTCGTGTTGCGCCGGATGCGGGGTTTCTTGGCGTTTCGGCGTGACGGATTCATGTTTTGGCAAGTTGCTGTGCGCACAAAAAGGACGACGGAACGAAACGGGACGTGTTACCTCATTTCCCCAGTAAGCCAACACCCACCCACACACAGACACACACACAAGCTGCAGGACTTGGGCTGTTCAGAGTAGTAGTGGGCGCCAATTGGAACTGAATTTGTGTTTTTCCACGATTGCCGTTTGTTGGTCAGAAAGAAGCTTGTGATCAGGAGTCTTAGCTGACTTGGAATGGTCTACAGTGTACGTAACAAAAATCACATCCACAATTGACTCAAGTGGAGCTCTTCTTTTTTAAACATCTATTGTTGAATCCCAGCCAGAGTTTTATTCAGACATAAGTCATATCAGACATATTGGCTCAAGAGCTCGTCTCTGGCTGTGCCGAAGATGCCGGGGGCCTCCAGCCCGTCGGGAGTGCACCAACATGGAACCCAGGGAGGCCGATGAAAAAAGCCCTTCTGCACGTTCTGATGCTTGAAAGGGAAAAATCCAGGGGAGCATAGGTGTCCTTTTTTGGGTTAGTTTCGTTAACAATAGATGGCACTGGTTTTATTCCATGTACCAGGGCCATCTATGCAAGGGACATTTCGTGTTTGTTTCTGTCCTCGTTTGAGACATTTGATGGCACATGGGCGCGAGATGGGGCATGTTCACAACTGGGACTGGTTGCTCAAGGGTGAAGCTCTCCCTTGGAAGACGATGTCAATCCTTAACTTGGTGGTTCCCAGCCTCCCGTTTTTTTTCCTTTGGTGTTTAGTTGTGTTTGGTTGTTTTTAGTTGGCTTAGTGGTTGGGTGTCCAGTTTACCCACTAAACAGCTAAACTTTTAGCAGGGGATTTGAGGACAGCCCAGAGAATACATTTTGTTTTGTCAATTTCATTCCATGTCACAAAGGAAAATATACCTTCCCAAGTCTACTGCAGCCTCATTCCAAGGGCAAAGGTTCTTCAGGTCCTTGCGCATAGTCATTTCTGTGGTGCGCACCGTTGCAAGGCGCTTTCTTTGTCGCCCAACAGAGCAAATTATTTATTTGCACAAGCCGTAACAAACCCAAACACCTGCCTTGGTGGTTCGCAGCCATCCTCTTAGCTTCTCAGGTTGTTAGTGTTTAGTGGGATTTCCATTCAACCCAGGAAAAGTTAAACATTTCGCAGGGGATCTGGGGACAGCCCAGTTGCATTTTACTCATTTGGAGATGTTCTGAGAGCTTGTTGCGCAATAACAAGCTCCTGTGGTTTTCATTCCGGGCGTATTCGAATTTCCTGACCAGGTAGCGGCCGCTGCCCCCGCCCCACGTAGAGATACAGCAACGGAGCTACAGAGACACCTTGGCAGTACCATTCCGGAGCTACAGAGACACCTTTTTCTTTCCTGTCCGGTACCCCCAGAGACACCGGGGCTTCGGGTTGGATTTTTTTTCGAGGTTCAAGAACACGTACCAGTCCGGTTTCCTCTCCATCCTCTACTCCATCGGCAGCAAGCCTTTGCAGATCTGGGACAAGAAGGCGCGTAGAAATACTGACTGGCTCCGAGAAAGAGAGAAACGCCGGGGAAAAACGCGTGGGTTTGGATCCTTTGGGTGTGTTTTTCTTTGAGGGCAGAGTGGTTTAAAGGGACAATCAAGGACATAAGGACCACCATTTTACAGTTGCCCCTAAAAAATGACACATGCCCACTTGAGTGGCAAACGTCACGTTTCTGGGGTCATGTGCCTTTTGGATTAGTTGGGGGGATTTTATCATGCTGAGCTAAGCCATAAACAAAGGCCACGCCGCCAACGCAGGCCTTATCAAGTCCAGTACCAGTTTTTGGAAGTGTTCGATGTCCTGAGCAAAGTTGAACCAAGTTCTTCCATGCAAAACGGTCCCCTGCTTGCCATTGGCTTTGAAATCAAAGCCTGCGAGTTTTCCTCAGGGAATGCGGGAAGCATCCGAAATTCTTCTCTGGTTTCCTGAGGATCACTCGGTTCACTCCCCGAAGCCCAGTTGATTCCCTGAGAATCGGCCAGAAAAATGTGCCCCTCTCACACTCCTGTGCGTGTGGCCCATCACAACAACAGCAACCTTTGCGCTCGTAGTGTTCGTTTGCGGCAGCAAACTGTTTCGCACCTTGAATCTTGGAACATCTTGGACAGGCACAAGTCGTGAGCCACCCAGGCCAAGGGCCTCCAATCTAACCAGGAGTTTTTGCAGATGCTTCCCGTTGATCTGGTTGCCCGTGGCAAAAACTGCCGTTTCGGGCCTGGGCCCACTTCCGTGGTGCCCGAGGGCGAAAATAACTCTCTGCCCCGAGTTCTGGGGTCATTTTTGGGGGTTCTGGACCATTTGATGCTCAACAAAAGAGGGGTTGTTTGTTCTGAATCCACTCAGGAAGCGAGACAAGGATACCAGGAGACAGTATTATGCCCTGGACTTTTATGTTTATTTTATTTTTTTTAACGGGCAGAAGCTGCAAAATTGGCTGCTAAACATTCATCTCCATACGAATAGTGCCCACCAAAGGGTCCCCAACTAGAATTCACCGTTACTTTACTGTTTGGGTTTGGATCATTTTAGTGACAAGCACGTTCAAACATGTCTGAACCTACCTTTGGGTTCAAGTGCCAACGGCTTGTTCACGGCCATGGGTCCCCAATTGACAATCAAGTGAAGATGTTTCACAAGTCGAACAAACGCCGAGGTGTCGGATGTTCTGATTTGGGTTTAAGGGTTTCGGATTTACCCTCCCACCCTTTCCACATGAAACCTGACAGCGGGTCCCTTAAGGGACATGGTCCAAACCAGGACCTGTCAGGTTCCGGTAGGAGGGGACTTTAGGTTTGAGCGCCACAGAGCACTTCGCTGCATCGCTGCCTCCGAACCCGGGGAAACACCCAGGTCCCCCAGCTTGGTGCCCTTTCTCAACCCCCTTTTTGGTTGGGAGGGTTCCCTACTAAAATAGACTACACGACAAAGACAAAAAAGAAGAAAAAAAGAAAACGGGTACCAACTGATTGTAACCTCTCAAGTCTTGGAGGACCTAGTCCAAAAAAAGCAGAACGAGAGAAAAAAACCGGGGGGGAAAAAAAGCGGAGCGGGCAGCGGGCACAGCGGGCGGGCCGGGAGAGGTGCGCAATGGCCACATCAAGCGCCTCACGGACTCGGACATCCAGTCCAGCGTCTTGGAGCCTTGGCCCCGTTAGTTGGTTGCCGAGACTTCGGCGTGTCGGATGGGGTCAGGGTTTTGGGGTCCTTGGACCGGAAAAAAGGAAGAAGAAGAAGAAGAAAAAACCGCACGGGGTTCCGGGGGGGCTTTTTTGGGTCGGAGGGGGTGGGTTGGGCGTTGCCCCCGAAAAAAGGTGGGGCGCCGCTATTTTGGGAAGGGCGGGGAAGGTGGCCGCTGGGAAAGGAGGGATGTGATACGAGGTTTGGAGGCAGTACTTTGAGCGATTTGTGTCGCAAGTGATCGGCAGAAAGTTGGTAGACGGTTCGGGAATGGTGGGCCCTGCGCACGGCATCCCGTCAAATTTCTGGGCATGCACGGGGCAGTTCTGAGAGTCCCCGGTCCTTGCGCGAACGAGTGCAATGCCGGTCCCCAGTTGCTGGCCGACAGGGGAACCGGTCACTAGGCACCGGTGGCTAGCGCGGGGGTTTGCTTAGGTGCCGCTTGAACAATAACGCAGAGGCGACATTGCGACATGGGTGTGGCTCAAAACTAAAAAGGAGGGGTTGCGCAGGTTTTGGTCCATGTTTCCACTTACCAGAGTTCCATTCAGGTACCGTTTCTTGAGCCAAACCCATTTCGGCACGTGGGGCATAATGTTTGTGTTGCAGGGGTAGGAGCGTTCAGGTTCCACAGAGGAGGGTCGCAGGGGCAGTGCTGAGCGGGGTTTCAGCACGCACGGGGCAGTTCCGAGTTCCGACTTCTGGGGATGCATGGTGCGCATAGTGGGGAGATCTTCCTTTTTACCATCACCCCCCCCCCTTTGCGAGGAGATCATGGGAACCAACGTGAGCACCACCTACATCACCTGCCCGGCGGACCCGGCGAAGACCTTGGGCATCAAGCTGCCCTTCCTGGCCTCTCGTTCAAAGACGTGCTCAGGGAATGACCGAGTCCGGGTTTTGGGACCGAACCGGATCATTCCAATTCTCATGCTGAGCAGCACGTAGCACATGGAAGTTGAGGGAAATGTAGTGATTCATAAAGCTCCCACTTGGGTTGGGGGGTCCCTTCGTGGCGAATTCTTCTTGGGGGTTCGGGGGTGCCCTTTTCAGTGGGGAGGCCTTGGGGACCTGGACCGGGACCCGGGTGACCCGTGATTTCTCACTGGGTGGTTAATTTTGAGGTTGCGAAGAAGCGAAGCAAAAACCACCCAACCAGTGAACCCCTTGGAAATCGAACGGGGCTCCTGGAGCCGATCCCGGAAATTTTCCCAGTGGGATTTTCGGCTGCCTCGAGCGAAAGCTGAGAGCGAAAGAAGGGTCTTGAAGTCATCGAATGGGGGTTTACTGTGGACAACAAAATATGCAGTTGGCTGACTCTCATGTTGACAAACCCCCAAGTTGACTGACTCTCAATCAATCGATGTCCACGCCTTTGGTTTCCCGCAGGCAGGGCCTCCAACTCCCAACTTTTCCATTCCCCTGGGTTGATTGCCTAAGTTTCTCTTGGCTAGGTTGATTTCCGTTGTCTTCCGTTTGGCTAATTTGACTCCCATGTTGTTTCTTGGCCGGTTTGAATACCTTTCAGGGCCGTTTTAAGTCAGAAGTTGACCATTGAAGGCGCTGCCTCCCGCTCTGGCTGGTCAGACTACATTCCCCTTTGGCTGATTTGACTGCCTATTGCTGGGGCCCAATGCGGTAAAGCCGTGGGTATTCGGTTGTTTGGATGCGGTTGCCTCCCTATGTTTCCCTTTAGACAAGTTTCCCTCAGTTGACGCTGATTCACTGCACGCCTGAGCCTTGGTATCACAAGTCCGAACTGGATTCCTCGAGGCTGAAATCAGCTTCCCTCCTGAAACTTGGATGCTTGTTTTAAACCGGGCAAGCCAATCGCAAGCCTATCCAATGGAGTGCCTGAGGTGATGATTATCAAGAACCTGAAGAAGTACTTCACCTTCGAGGCGTCGCTGGGAGATCAGAGATGCACCGGCAAAGCCTTTTGGACCTTTTGGTGTTCTGAAGTTGGCAAACCATTTTTTCGTGGCCCCAAAAGGGTTGGATCACCTTTTTGTTTCTGGTGGCCTAAAGGGGCAAGTAAGGAAAAGACGTGAGGTAGTCATGGGGATGGCCACTTTGTTTGAGAAGGTCAAAATCAAATTGGGAGGTTTGCAGAGTTTCTTAGAGCAGGTCACGGTGCTGGATGACAAGGAGGTCAGGAGACGGTTCCGGGCCTCCAACTACCAGAGCACCACCAGGCGCGTCTCACGGTGCTCGCTTAAGTGAGATTTTATATATTTTTTGCGGAGTGAGGAAGCTTCAACCGTTTCCGATCTGGCTTTAAAGGAAACCAAGGACTGATTTCATCAAAGTGTACCCTGTCGCCTTGGGGCCTTTTTTCACCGCCGGGATTCCGATAGAAACAAGGAGAGGGGTTTTCCGATCTCTAGAGTTCAATCTACTGGGGAAGGTTGAAACATGAAACTAGGGATCCCCCTCCAACCGCCTCCTTTATGCAGGAGAGTGACAATGCCTTCACCGAGTCTTTTTGCGAATCTGGTCACACCATGTGTCCTGCCAAATATGGCCCAATGCACGTTCTTAGGCTTGCTATGCCTCATGACTTGAGGATTTTTTTGCAGTGCCTGTGGGATCTCTTTTGACATGTTGCATCTCGCGAGTATCGGCCACGGTCAAACCTATGATTTCGGTCTCGTCTTCCGGGCGGACCGTCCAGGACGGTGCTTGAGGAGCAGATACTTGGCACTTCAACGCCGGACAAAGGGTGGCACGCTTTTCCCATATCTCTGCATGTCTTAATGGACAAATGTGGCATGTGTTTCTGGGACTCCTTCATTTGTTCCTGGAAATCGCCGGGTGTTTTGGTGAGTACCCAGACGTGCCAGGGTGAAGCCCTTCATTTGCACCATGCCCATGCGACTGGACGAAGGCGGGGGGCAAAGGAATCGTTCGGATCGAAGTGGGTGAGAGTTTGATGCATCCTGTCCCGTAGCTTTTTAGCTTTTTAGCATTTTAGCTGTTTGAGTTGTTTTAGTTGTTTTTAGTTTTTAGTTTTTGAGTTTTTTAGTAGGTTGGTTTCCTTTTAACTTTGACTAAAAGTTAAGCTTTTAGCAGGGGATCCGAAAGCGGACAGCCCAGGACTCCTCCCTCCCAGCGCGGCAACTGACACAGGGTGCCCTGAAGAGGAAAGCCATTTGCCAGGTTTCCTGCCACAGGTGCTGTGTTTGTTGGGAGGGCAGACTGAGTATGGATTCGTCGTTGTAAACTTACATTGCGGGCGCAATCAGTGTCATTGGTTGGCGGGCAAACACCGTTACACCGTTACACCGTTACACCGCTTTTGTTGCGCGTGAAAGGTAAACACCGTTACACCGTTTACACCGGTGACACCGTTTACACCGGTTACACAAGTCGCTCGGACAGAGCCCTTGCTCATGAAGGTGTTCGTACAAAAGTTACACTGGTTACACCGTTTACACCGTTTACACCGGTTACACCGTTTACACCGGTTACACCGGTTACACCGTTTTACACCGTTTTACACCGTTATACACTGTTTACATCGGTTATGCAAGCTACACCCAAAACGTCGGGCACACCGACTACGCTGTCACACAGACTCCATCGGGCACAGTTACAGCGATTACACTGACTTCAGTTCATGCTGCTTCGTACGACCAAAGTCACGACACGGCCTCGCGCCTTCTGATTCGTTTCATGACGTGGTGCTGGATGCAGCAGCGCGCTTGATGGGAGCACGGGCGAAGCTTTCTTGCGTGGTGCAAGTTGGCGCAACTTACACAGGAAGGTCTCGGTGTCAGGGTGTCTCTACGGGTGCCTTCTTGACGTGGGCTCGGACATTTTTTTGGGGCCTACCAAAAAACATGATTTTTGGTGGGTCTCAGCCTGCGCCCGTCATGCTGCTTTGTACGACCAAAGTCACGACACGGCCGCACGCCTTCCGATTCGTTTCGTGACGTGGTGTGCTGCTGCGGGACAGGCAGCAGTTTTGCAAGATTCACATTGCGCAAGCATCGTGCTGACTGCGGCCGCTGCTGTAGCTCAATGTCATAAGACGCATGTTGTGCGGTCTGAGCCTCGCTCGCCGCTGCATGCTTATAATCGAGCTTAAAAACAAGACCCGCAGCGAAACGCAGCGCAGCAAGTGACTTGGGCGCGCTGTAGCCATGGCAGACATGTGACATGGCAGCTGCTTCTGCATGGGATTCAGAGGACGAGGTGGGGCGGACAGGCTGGAGCGGGCATTCCGCTCTCGCATTCTGTTTGGCTGCGCTTGCTCCCTTGCTCCCTTGAAGGTCATCGGCGGCCGCTTTGGAGAGGAGCCCGCAGCGGAGGACTCTGAGAGTGAGGCGCGCTCTGTTCTGTGTTAGTTGTTGCTGAGCGCTGGCTTGCCGCTGCGAGCTCGGCTTTCCAGCCTCCAGGTTGTAAACGTTGGCCGCGGCGCTGGAGCCCGGCCCGCAGGTCCAGCGCAGGCCGCGAAGATGCGCCGACGGCCAGCGGCTGCGCTGCCAGCCGCTCCTGCCGAGCTTGCGCCCCCAATCGGCGAGAGACTAACGAGCAGCAAGCCTACGCTGCGTCAGTTTGCTGCCCGGCTGGCCAGCGGGCGGACGCGTGAAGTGCCTGGCGCTGCAGAGCTGCAACCTCTTCCGCTTTGATGCTCCGGCAGCCGTGGCCAGGCCAGGCCCGCAGAGGGGGCTGTCTGCCGACCTGCACGGCGAGCCTTGCTACATCTTGGACACCTTCATGCTCAGGGGGGCTGTCATGGCAGACATTGGCCTGGTTCGCGCCCAGCGGGATGGCAGCAGGTTCACTTTAGCCAAGCTGCAGACTGTGTCAGCAGATGCTCTTAGCAATGTCCGCTTTTACTTCCACATTGTGCAAGCAAACGCGCAGCGTTTGTTGCTGGAGGTGGCCGGCACAGGCCAAGACACGCGCCCCTTGGAGGTGGCAGCGGCTTGCTTGCAGGGCCAGGCCGACGCGACCTCGCCTTTTGCTGCCGCGCCGAGGCAGGCGCAAGCGGTGCGACACATCCGGCCACAAGCGGCATCCGCTCATGCTGAAGAATGGGGACATCGCGTGGCAGTGTGGGGCAACAAGAGGTCTCAGGAGCCGCTTTGGGTTTGGGACTTGCCTTATCCTATGGCGCTAGATCGTCGGCCCTGGCGGTGTCAGACCTGCGCAAGAGAGGGCGCGGCTCGGGGTGTTCGTCAGTACTTCCCGGTCACTGCTGCAGATGTTCGACTGGCCGTCCCGGGCGCCATGCGACACAAGGCGCAAGATGTAGATTTGGGCCGCGCAGCCGACACTTCAGTTCACAAGTCCTCCCTAAACAATGAGTTTGGACTGTGTTTTGCACTTTCTCAGAGTTAGGGATGGGGCTTGGAGGGCAGTTTGTTGCCGGGATGTCATGCAGGCCAAAAAGCAGAAGGAACACTGGCTGACATCCCGCTTTCTCTTGGAGGCGTGCCTGATCTTCTACGAGAACATCAATGCCAGGCACGTAAGACGCCAGCTGGCTAGTATCTTTTCGGCAAGTGTTCTGGCGTCTGCTGCAAGCCAAGAAGCCCGCGGCGTGGCTCCTTGGACACTGGGTGTACAGTGCGCAAGCATGCCCAAGAGCCCAGCGGCTTGGTCGCCAATGCCTTTGCTGATGCACGCTTCGCCCTTGCCCCTTGCGTGCTCAAGAAAGGAATGCCAAATCTTGGGCCCCGGAAAACCACTGGGTGTCTTTTTCTAGGGAGCTCAAAATTTTGGTTTTCCTTTTTCCCTGTAAAGCTACAAAACTGGGGTACCAATTCTAAAAGAGACATGCATGACTATAGGCGTGGAGAGGCTGAAATGCGTTTATTTTATGGAAGTACTCACATCTACTATTTGGGGGCACCTGACCGTGGGTATCAAACCGGCTCGTGAGTGAACATACCTGTACGCGGTCTGAGCCTAGCTCGCCGCCGACTTATGCAAACGCAAAGCGCTTTCAGGCAGTGCGCAGCATCCTTCGCAAGGCGCTGTCCGCCCCCGTGGCTGCAATGGTGGAGACACTGCAGAAGCTGGCCTGCCTCTACAGTGCCCAAGGTGTGCGACACGATGGCCACTACAAATTAAACAAGCGAATTGTTGGAAGGCTGATGCGCTTTCCTTCTGGGAAAGGCGCACGGCAGAGGCCTTACAACGCCATTTTGGCGTTCACAGGAGTGGACGGGGCTTTGCTGACAGTGCCGGAAGCAACCGATGGCGAGGGCTGGCGAACCCTGGAGCCCATTTTGGAAGCGTTGCTTTGGAAGATCAAAGCCACTCGCTTGGAAGCAGGGTTATCCTTGCTCCAAAGCTGCCCCACGTTCCACTGCACTGACAATTTTCGGGCGCAGCGCCTCAAACTAGAGGCCTTGTACAAGAGTCGCACGCACCAACGAAGCTGGGGCCGGATCGTGGCTTGGCTCAGGCGGAAGTCAGAGCAAACAACTCTTGTCCCTTCACGCTCAACGCACTTTGAAGCCAACAGTGTAATCATGCACGACCAAAAGTCAACACACCTTTTTTTTGCGGACTGAGCCTAGCTCGCCGCTGCTTTACAGAGCAAATAACTCTTGTCTCTGCAGGCCCCACTTGTCGTGCCATGGATGAGCATGGTGTTCTGGTCACGCTGTTCTGCGTCGGCCTCCCATGGTCGGAGGCGCCTCAGGGCGTGACATGGACACAGTGGCTTCAGCATCAAAGGTTTGACGACACGCCTCCTGTGACTGCGGACCTTGGCAATCAAGATGAGGAGCTAGTGGTTGGCCTGTCTACAAGGGCGGGCGTCAATCCACGGGTGAAGCCAAGGAGCGCGTGCTTCGAGCATGTCAAGCTGCAACGCACAGCGGCGATGGGTCTTCGTGCCGCTGAGGAGTGCTTTGCCGATTCCACAGGCGGATCGTGCCTGCTCCTTGCGCCCCCCTCTCACGGCCATGCTCCAGCTCTTCGACGGTCGCTTGGAAGAGTGGCGTCGGGTGCAGTCGGCTGTCACCTCCGCCCTGGATGCCATGTCTCGTGATGTCGTACAAGGAACTTCCAAGACCTTGCGCATGCAGCACAGCGTGCAAGTGCAAGTGCTCTCTCGCATGATTCACTATGAAGCCCCTTCGCGGGCAGAGCACGCTCCCTCGACACAGTGGCTGGTGGGTGGCTGCACTCGGGTGACCGAGCCGGCAGACTTGCTGGAGGCGCAATGCCCTTGCGCTAGACTGGAGAAGTTTCACAGATGGATATCTCTGGACTGCAACGGCATGGATGTTTATGTCATGACACCGAACACGGTGTTCAAAAGCCCGGCTGAGGTGCTGCCCACATTGCTGCACTCGGCAAAATTCCAGCTGCTCAGTTCTATTCGCACTGCTTCCATCACGCCCCTGTCGCTCATCCGAGCTTACTGTGATGACACTCAGCGAAGCATATTGCGAGTGTCTGGGCGCTTGCAGGACTGGCTGTGTCACTCTGCCCGAACCACTGTGCAGTGGGATGAAACTGACAAGCACAAAGTGCTGTGGCTCATTCCTGATGCCCTGCTACGCGAAGCTCTTGCGCGTTCTAGGTCAAGCTCATCGTCCATTGCAGATTTGGGCCAAGAGCTGTGGCAACAAGGGCGGCTGCATGTAGTGCAGAGCGCTCGGGCCGCGAGTATGCCCGGTACCGCATGTCTGTGACGCCAGACGTTGAGACGCCGGGCAGCTTGGTTGGAGTGCTGCTAGAATGGTGTGGGGCAAAGCTGTATCAGCACCAGGCGCTCCTGCAGGCCGCGCGGCATCCAGAGCATCCTCTGGGCCCGACGGCCAGCTTCTTCAACCTGGCCCAGGAGCACGCTGCTGGCGCAGCAGGCAACGTGTTCAAGGGCATTTTGACAGAGAAGGCCATTTCGGAGCACGAGACACT